CCGTATATAATGATAATGGTGATCTAGAAGCGCTTTTATTTAAAATAAATAAAAACGGGAATAAAAGTATTTAAATATCTATTATAATTTTTATCCGGCATTTTAAATAATTTACTGTAAATAAAAGTTCATTACTACAAGTATATATTTTATTTCCAGTGAAAAATATGTTATTCCTATAGACATTTTTTATAAAGTAAAACAAAATTAAAACAAAACAAACAAAACAAAAAAAAAAAAACAAAAACAAAACAAAAAAATCAAAAAATCAGAGCATGACTCGAACACTTTCCTCAATAAACGTCCCTTTAAAGAGCTCCTCGCTAACCACTAGACCACGGCGTCACACTTACATGTCTATTTAAATAGCATACTGTTCTCTATATTTAGCAAGCGTTTTTGGACTTAGAATATTTTAAGACCACGGTGAAAATTTAAGTAAGTTAACTTAATTTTTTATGTAGAGTGGGTCTTCATACCATATTTTTGCAAGTGTAAAAAGCAACATCTTTCCATTGTATGCAAATGGTAATAAGCATTACATTAATTCAACAAAAAGTGAAATATTTGTAAAATGAATTTATTGATTTTTTATCGATCGTTATGTAGGCATATGGCTCGGCTTATCCCCCCAGTTTCTTAACACCCCATTAAAAAATAAAACCATTAATGTATATTCTTACAATCAGAAAACATACACATATTCACGTCAGACGTGTATATGTATAATTTTATCATTACTTTTAAAAATTTTTTTTTTTTTTCAAATTATTAATCAAGCAAGAATCTACATCTAAACATTGTCTAAAATGTGTATTTAGAGATAAACAAAATGTAGAAAATAACTGCTATATTGCAATTTTGTAGACAATAGAAACAGCTAGGCTTGATGTTTCCATGATTTCTCTTTACATCAGAGGTTAACCATTATGTGGTGTTGTGTCTGACCAGTCAAGAAGAATTTTAAATGGTTTTGAAAAGTGAAACTTGAAATAATCATCTTCATCTTTTCCCCTGGAATAAAAAGCATACATGTACTTTAATTAAAAATCAATTGTTTAATATCTACTACATTTTTCATGTGATAACAAATACAAGTATATAAGCATATCTATTTTTATTAAAATGTATATAATACTAAGCTATTAGTAGTTAGTATTTACACCTCCAAATAAATTGCCCCAGAATTCCTGCATGTGTACTTTAAAAAGCAGGCTTCCTATCACAGGTGCTTGGGGACAGGACCCCCCCCCCCCCCCCCCATGAAATAAAAAAATATGAATACACAAGATATACTAAAATAATAATGAAGATGACATAAATTTATCTATATGTTTATGTTTTCAAATATCTGGTTCCAGTTAATCCATCTTCTTTTATAGTTTATACACATGAAGTTCATTGTTTTATTTATTTTTATAAAAAATTCATACTCTTGGATACTAAAAGAGAACTTTTAGTATCAGAAAGTATGAATTTTTATAAAAGGTTACTTTTAAATTATATTTTGGATTTTTAATTGTAATACTTTGTGAATGTGTCATAGAAATATATTTTATTAAAAAAAAGTCGGGGAGAACCCTTGGGGTACGGAACGCGGGGGAGGAGGTCCCATCCTCAAGCACCTGTTCTTCATATTTTATCGCCTTGAACGCAGACAACAATTTGTTAATTAATGAATACCCTAAATAAACCACCAATAAATAAAATACATGGCGCAGACGTATGTAGCACTAATTCATGATTACGCCAACCACTCCATACCCAGAGATTGCGCTAAATTTTGAATACGCCAATTTATGTACACATACAGCAGTGATTTTTCTACACCCAATTTAGGTCCGAATTTCGGCCCTTTCCCCTATCAAAAATTACTGATTTTTTCCCAATTTCAGTTGCTTTTTCCCCCCAGAAAAACCGTTATTGATTTTGTTATATTGAATTTTTTATGTACGACTTATCTAAATTGGAACCCTATTGCTCTCGGTCATTCATACTCTTAAAATAATAGTGAAAAACAGCAGATCATTTTGTGCGTTTACAAGACAAAGAAAAACACATGGATCATGTCAAACGTCAAACTTTCATACATCGTAAGAAAGTGTAAGATGCATGTGAACAGGCGAAACATAGCTTTATTTGTAAATCCAAGAACTAGTAGTTCTACAACAAGCATCCCTGATTCCATGAAAATCAAACTGTTTTTACACCCGGCAGATGCAAGTAATATTGCGGGGTAATTGCAGCACAATGATTAGGGTGATTTAGAAAGCTAGAAGAAAAATGATTTGTTTTAAATCATATCAGATTATATCATCTTCAATGGCTATTATGAGTAGGATTTTTTTCTTATGTCTACCAATATGGCAAAAAAAAAAAAAGAATTGAAATATAGGACGGTCACAACTAATGACAACTTTCAAAGATTAAAAAAAAAGTTAAAAATGTAGAACTGTGTCTAATTTGTTATTTTGTAGTAAATATTTTGAATAAATGATGTTACATTTACTTATATATTTTATTTTACCTGTCAATTAAGGTTTATTTCAATCTTATTGATTTTTCCCAATTTTACACAAATGTTGATGATTTTTCCCAATTGTAAAGGCCCAGGCCCCTTTTAAAAAATGTAGAAAAATCACTGTACAGTATTTTCAGTGTAGCCAATTGCAAGGTAAAAGTAAATGAAACAATTTACCATCACCTACTCCAAAAGCTGTCCCCATGCTCTAACAGTTCAATCTTCTCCAAAAGAATATTGTTCAGTTAAGATACTGTCCGATGTTCCGTGCTCACGGTCAATTGCAAGGTTTCTGTCTCCATTAGTTAATTTTGTAACTGCCTCCTGCTTCTGGTATTTAGCCTTTGTGTTGAAATAAAGATGATAAAAACACAAGAACAAAAGTTCTCTTTATGTGCCTGTATCTTTTCATCTTCTTTTTTTCAAAGCACCAGTACATCTAAAATATGTTTAAAATATTTTTTTTCAAATTAAAGAAATTCATTCTTATTGTCAATCATGAATACATACATTTACATGGGTATATTATATTTATATCTTATTAGTGTGTATTTATAGCTGCAGTTAAATCATTCTCTTTTGAGGAGCTGATGGCTCGTTATAATACTCCCCCTCAGGGGGAGTATTAAAACGAGCCATCAACTTCTCAATAGAGAATAGAGTTAAATATGTTTTGTTCTTTTACAGTGAATCTGAATTATATGACTTCTTTTTAGGCTAAAAAATTTTTTTTATGTGTTTCCGTTAAGTCGACCATCTCTAATTTTTACCCACCACCTACCGGTACTACTTTTTTGGCCAAATCAGATTTTAAACTGTATAACTGGCGGATTTAGAGGGGGGCCCAACCCCCCTTTTTGTGTCCAAAATATACATCAGATTTAATAAATCAATTTTTTGGCGTGGCCTTGAGCCCCTATCCCGACACCAAACTGGTCCCTCCCCCTTTTCAAGATTCCTTGATCACCCACTGTGTACAACGTTAACAAAAATATATGTTTTTTTATATTAAATTGCCTTGTGTATATTTTTCATTACATACAAACTTTCATCTTCTATAACATTCTCCTCCTTTTGATAAACTCTGTAGTTATGATTTGCCAAAGTAAGTTGCTTTCTGAAGCAAGCAAAAATTCCTATAATGCAGCAAATATATTACTATTAAGATGTATATCTGGAATGTCCTGCTAACATGGTGATCTTTGAATATAGACCAATTAAGTCTATTATATAAAAGAAATTATTTAATTTAAAAATTATGTCAATTTATTTGAAAAAGCTTCTTACATGTAGTTTTTATACAAAATGAATATTTGAAAAAATTCAAATTTATACCTATGCCTAGGGTTGTTCTAACCAGTTTAATTTTTTGTCTTCAGTGCAAAAGAGTCAGCAAAGGGAAATAACTCTAGGTTAATTTTTAGGAAAAGTTATGATTTGAGGGGATTGGAATATGACTTTTAACTGATTTCCCCACCTCAAATCTTTTTGCATCTTTTAGATCTAAGCTCGATCTTACTAATAATATCTTTTTTCAAAGTTTCAATTGCCTGCAAAAATTTATATGCATATCAAGAAATAGGCGCCTTTGTATTCATTTTTATGACAAATTCATGTTAATTGATCTGTATCATATTAAAAATCTTGGGTTAAATTGAATAAAATTTAGATGCACAGAAACTTTAATTACTTAGCTATAAAATGAAACCCATGTTATGTTGATAACTTTCCTACATTAAGGAAGCACGGAATTATTTTACATGGAGATGACAATCAGGTCAGTTTTGCCATAACAAAATATTTCAAAGCAGTTGCTATGGAAACCAAGGAGGTACTGTCCAAAATTTACCCACCAATAGTCTTTATATAGGGCACTCTCTAATATTATAGTGATAAAATAAAATTCCATGACAGTGCGTGGACAAGCATTTTTGGTCCTTACAGAGAATTGATGTTAAATTGTTCACTGAAACTAATTTTCACCACCTCTTTTTCAGTGTTAATTTCCCTTTATCACATTCCTGTACCCTACTGGAAGCCTTAATGTGATTTGTATATTAATTGTCTATAAAACACATTTATTCAGGACTTCATTCTTCTTAATGTCAATTACAACTGATTACAACGGCTTTGTTGATCAGTGATAAAATGGTAAGACACACTACAGTTAAAAATTGTTTGTATAAACATACAGTATGTTAGAATTACCAATGATTCTCACAGCAATTGTAAATATAATTTATCTCTCTATCATCAATTGTGTGAAGTTTAGTGAGAACCTACTGGGGGGGGGGGGGGGGTATTCACAATTCAAACCAATATTTTAGAAATTTCTGCCAGATATAGCCATTGTTTGATGGTTTTGCAGCCAGGACAAGCAGTTTTCCATTGCACAATACTTGGTTACAACTTTGTATAAAAAGAAAGAAAGAATTGTTGTTTCAAACTAAAAAAGTGTAAATTCAATCTTATGTTGTAGTGGCATCAGTCAGCACCTTGCAGGACATCAAAGTACCAGACAGCAGTGGTGGCTATGCATACACAGAGGGTGGTGTGACAAACAGATTCATTTACTGGTATGTATATTAAGAAGTGAATAAGTTCAATAAGACAAAAGGAAGTAGAAATAATGTTAAACAGAAACCAGGGAAAATGTCAACAGATTCTTATTAAAGTGAAAATTTCACATTAACATGAGCTTGACAGTGTCATTTGTAAAACAGAGATACATATATAGTATATGTAGATCTATGTAAACAAGGGAAAAATATTAAGTATTTCATTTAAATAATTAGGAGGACAACTAGTAACATTCTAGAGCTGGTGGAAGAAAGTTTGGATTACAACTTGGTGGGTTCACAGATCAGATTTCACTTCCATGACACACAGATTATAGGAGGCATTTCCATTCATGAGTCCCATGGAAATGTTGTAGTGTTTGTCGTCACTGCTATAAGCGTACATCGCCTGGTGTTTCCCCATCCAAGCAGACTCCTCAAAAATGTAAGTAGCAATACAATTAATATTTATGTATAAGTATGAATTCATGCTGATTGAAAATAAATAATCCCATGCAAATGAAAACATATTTTTGTAGTTGTAGAACCGAGTATGACATGTAAATAGGGGGAGATTTGTCAGACAGGAAGGGTTTTATTGGGGGCCCATGATATCTGACATTTGCATTCTATGTTTTGCAGTTTGAAATTCTTAATTTTTTAAATAAATGCCGATATTATTGACTACCGGTACATTCATTTTCTGTTAAAGATTTAGTCTGATTTACTCCCAGATAGTGATGTGCCGATTGTCGCCGACGATTGATTGTCGGTCATTAGAAGCTCTTCGATGCTACTAATCGATTACAAAATGAATGTCGCCGACATCGCTGACAAAAAATAATATTGTTATACTTTAATTTTATAACCAAATCCAAGTGTAAAGAGTTTCAAAGTAGTGATGAATGTTTAAAATATCGAAGGTATCCATGCCATGTTGATATTTTCACCGCCATGATTGAATATAGGGTCAGTCTAATAACAGAAAACGGATGATATTACGAGGTTTTACTACACACAGGAAAACATTAACAGTACAAACGATCTGTAAACGTAATTATAATTAGGAAATAGAAGTTCAAATTCTTAATAACTACTTTTGAATTCTTTTTAAGTAAATGCCCATTCAGTATATTTTAATGAGATTTTTTTTATTAAAAGTAAAGAAATTAATTCTTATTTTCCAGTTTATAAAAAGAAAAATAATATTTATGAATATTTTTTGTAAAAGTCTGAATTTAAATCTGAATAAGTTTAACTTTTTAAAATATTTATTTCATTAAAGGTAAAAATTCGATTATAATCGATTATTAATCGATTATGCACAACCGATTATTACCGATAATCGATTATGATTTTTTTCCGATTTCCCATCACTACTCCCAGGTAATTTCAGGTTATGGAGTCTACATGTATCTTCAAGTATAAAGCAATGATCATAAAAAACTTATTGACGACAAACATATCATTTAAGTATTGCATGTCTAATCTCCCTATTTAGAACATTGGGTATACGCAGAACAGCCATCCAGTTCCTTCAATATTCAGTTATGCATCAGATCTAGAAGGTCTTTGGAATAAATATTTACTGAACCATGGAGGGAATTTTTCATCCCAAATTCAAGGCGCAGCTTCAGCCCAGAACGGAGAGGGTCAGGCTTTGTTTGTCCTCAGTAGTAATGAGGGGAGTATCCTCCTAATAAAAATGCCTCCCCTTAATGTTCAAGGTAAAGGATAAATACGTGTGAATTGCAGTTTTTTTTATTTTCAGATGTAAATCCATATCTTCAGATGTGTTTTAATGTCAGGAAAATTGCTGATAAAGTGTGTCATTGTCATAGATTTTGATAGTACTTTTTGATAATTGGGTAGTCAAGATTTTTGCCACATGAGAATATACATGTATGTTTCTTTTAATAATATTTTCTGTAATTTTGGATATTGATCAATGGCTTTCTATTTTTTTTTTTATGTCCCAGGGATTGTCCAGCAGTTTGAGCTCTCTAAGTCCTCCATGATGCAGAAGCTTTGGACAGGATTGGTGCCTGCAGCCATGAGGTTTGTCAAAAGTGTTGTCAGTCTTAAAATTAAAAAAACAAAAAATATGTATTTGTCCAGTAAGGCCAGGAGGGGGCCATATTCATAGTTTGTGATATGAGTATGTAGTAAAAATATTGTAAAGGTTCTTTTGGACAGAACAGAATGCCTACAACCAGTCAAATAATATGGTAGCATCATTATATTGTGTTGGTTCAAATTTGTTCCAATCATTCTCACCTGTTTGATTGGGGCTACAATAGGGGTGTGTATACTACAATAGGGGTGTGTATACATGTACATCACTACCAGCAATCAAAAAAGAATTGTTGTGTTGTAAGAAAGTTAAGAACTTATGACAAATGAAATATTTTAGATGACAAAATTTTACTGAAAGACTCCAACAATATTAATGTTCATTGAGATACTGTATAAATGATATCCCAAGTAAAAGTTTTCTTTAAAGTACTTTCAGAAATTGGTTTCTGAGATTCAAAACTCTGCATTTTAAAATTTATAGGGGTAGTCATGAATCCTTAGAGTCAGCGACAGGATTGGTCATCCATCCGTATCGGGGTGATATGTACATCTTTGCCATCTGTAGAGATCACAGGCTCAGAGTCTGGTCAACCAGGGTAGGTGTTTCATGTTCTAAATGACAAGTTTTGCTCATTTACTGTCAAACATCATATTGAGTCTAAGTAATACTGTACGTGTACATAAATTGGCATATTCAAAATTTAGCGCAATCACTGGGTATTGAGTGGTTGGTGTAATCATGAATTGATCTACATAGGTCTGCACCGTGTATTGTATTTATTAATATTTTTACAGTATTCATTGTTGTCTGCGCCAAAGCTGCTAAAATATGAATCCTGCTTTTTTAAGTGCACATACAGAAATAAATTTGTTAGATTTAATTGTATGCTATGTGTTTTAATTCACTGAATCAAAACTTGATAGGTTTGGAGTTTGGTTTAAAGTAACTACATGTAGCAAAAGTACATATGTATTGCCAAGTAGTCTAATAAATCTACTTTCCTTTTTTGCTGAAATGACTTTAATATCTTCTGCAGACTCATGAATGTGTTGCAATATACAATGTGCTGGAAACCTGTCCAGAACTAAAAAATGCACCACCTGCAATAGGTAAGTAATTCTGGAGACATGACAACTGCATGCAGAAGTTAAGGAAATATGCAACATAAATATGATCTATATTCTTTTATTCCCTCTAAAACTGAAGAGTTCCAGTAATTGATGGACAACTTTTGTGCAACTTTTTTAATGCCTAATGATGCTATACAATTATTCTAGAACAAATTATTAGGAAATACCAGCTAGAATGAAATGTTTGGTAATTTTTGTGTATTTTTCTTTAAATAACACAAAGATTTTTGTCATTTGATATCTATTCAACCCCCTAGATATGGATGCTGATTTTTTGTACAAGAACATCTAATGATACTTTGATTTAAGAATATCTTTGAAAGTTATCAATGGATGAGTTTTTTTGTTAGGTACTTTATGTACATGTACGACCTCAAAATTTTTATTTGCTATAAAATCTTTGGACATGTATATCTTTTAGGGTCTGGTCATAAGCTGGTGAAGGTGATGACTAGTGATGCTGTCAATCTTCTTCTCTGTGTACATTTAAATTTTGCCAAAAGAAACCAGGTAACTGTGTCATAATGGTTAATACTTTAGTTCATAGGGAAAAAAAATTACAATATTTCTTAATTTTATAGCATCAACAATATACAAACATAGTTTTTTGTTATAATCTAGTTTTGCTTTCTCCAACCTCAACTGTTGAGTGGGAGGGTGCAGCCTATACATATGGCCACAGTGGTGGGCGTGGCTGAGGACCTGATTGACTTCTGTGTTACCTCTGACAAACTATGGACCCTTTGGACCAATAGCTCAGGAGAGAGCATAGCCAGGGTGTGTCACATGTCAGGGTGAGTATCATGAAAATCAGTAGAACAGAGTGTGTCACATATCAGGCTGTGTGTGTTGTAAAAGTATGAAGATTTGTTTATTTGTTTTTCTTGGCAAATTTAAAGGTTTTTAAGGAGGCTGGGGGGTCAACAAATTAACCACAAATTAACCACCAGATTTAACTTAATTTTTTAGATATGATATCTTAAGCTGTCAACTATCATTTGGCAAAGAAAAATTTCAAAAATTTTAGTTTTAAAATTTGATCATTTTCTATATCTTCATATGGAGCTCTTCTTCTAAAGGAGATCAATATAGTCTAAAAATGGCCACAACCCCCCAGCCTCTTTAAAATTGAATGCATATTTAACCAGATATGATAGTTTATATAACTAGAAGTGTAGATCTTATACTGTTAATATGTATACTTTGTAAATGAAAGTATTGCATGGTACATTTTACTTTTTATCAAATATTGCTTGTAATCTTTATTCTGAATGAATAACTTGACAGAGACCTGAGAGATGGTAACTGGGTGGAGGTAATTCTTCACCCCTCAGATGGAGGGGAGATTCTTGTCAGCCAGCACACTGACCCACGAGAAGTCTACATGGAAAAAATGTTCCAGCCCAAACGCTTTAGTCTGTATGACATCCACAAAGCACTCAATGTAAGGATTTTTATATGACAAAATAAGCGGGTAAAAGTGTAGATACTCACTTAATTGAAAAAGAGTTATTCCAATTACATATTGAATAAATTTCATGTGATCTAAGCTTTCCAAAACATAAAAAATGAACTATGATTCAAGCTGCCAGAATGTAGGAAAGGACAAAGTGACCCAAACTGTAATAAAAGTTATTATATACCTAACTTTGTATCACTCAATTTTACTGTTGATTTCTCGCAATCACGTGACGGTGTGATCTGACTTGTTATAATATATATTTACCATCCAAGTGTTTTTATTAATTCTGTTGGTATTGTTGTAGGTATACAGACGCTCTATGGATGCTAGTGTCCCAGCTGACCTAAACATCGACTCACTGAAACATGAAGTTACAGAGGCTGTGGAAGATGCTGTAAGTAATAACAGTAAATGTGATAGGAAAACAGAATAGGATCAAGCAGAAAGTAGATTATGAACTCTATTTAGATAAGGTAAACCTCAAAATAATACAACTGCTACAAAATTGTCAAAGCACATGTATATACATATATGTAATTGAAACACATCTTAATTTTAATAAGTTGTGTAGACATAACTTTGATTTTGTAAATATTTTGATGTTTTGTAGATTCGTAATTCTGCAATGGCCAATGAGATTTCAGAAGAGGAATACTGTGAGTTACAGATGGAGCAGTGGTCCAAATTCTACTCTGGTGTGGTGCAGTACCAAGAGGTATACCATTCTGACAGAGTTAAAGTACTCATGTCAATAGACTTTGTTGTCTGTAGAAAAATTTTAAAAAAATTATATTATTATTACCTACTGGGTACATAATCTGCATTGCAGGTTGGAGGAAAAATGAAAGGCTATTTTGCAGATTCAAACACAGGACTTGTGTGCATTATCAAGAAGGTATCTATATACTACACATCAGTAAACATTTCAGTGTACATTGTATAAATAATAAATTACAAGTTGTTTATGTACAATGTGTATGTTGTGTTGATTTCAGGGTGGTTTGAGCTATGTGCGACCTTGTGACCCCATTGAAGAACTCTATTTAGGAGATGGTCATTGGTCAGCCCAGGACTTGGGTAGGCTGGTTTTCTGTGTTTAAATTGCAGAGTTGAGTGTAAGTTTGTTAACCAGTTGAAGTACACATGTACATGTGTGGCAAAACGTCATTTCTGTAGTTCATTTGTGAAAGTTATTATTACCTATGATGCTTCCAGTTTGATATACTGTAAACCAACATTTATTCGCGTTTGAGAAATATTAGCAAGTTTCGCGACCTACATTTACTCGCGAATTTTAATCACCGCGAACCATTTATTTTGCTTTGTATTTGTAGAGAATGTTTCCTGAGTCACAGAAATTAATCGTCGCGGATTGATTTTAAACTGACGAATTGCGAATAAAAGTTGACGTGAATAATAGATGGTTTACTGTATCTTTGTTACTGCAGATCAGGAAACCTGTGCAGCAAGGATGCATTTTTTTTTTGTCTTTAAAAGTATTTTTCAGCACATTTCTACATGTACATGTATATCTTTAAAAATTTTCTTTTGAATGAAAAAGAAATGAGAAAATGATTATTTTTTAACTGAATTTTATTTCTGAACAGATGAAATAACAAGGAGGGATGTGAAGACACTGGGCAGGTGTCTGAGTTTAATCAATAGCAAGATCTCGGAGGAAATGGTTGTTCAGTTTGAAGATCAGCTGTTGATGAAAGAACAACCAGAGGAGGCAGTCAGAACTATTGTGGAGGATCTGTTCTTTAACACAAGGTTAGGAAGATTTAGTCAACCTTGTATAGAGATCCCTGTTTATTTGCATGGAAATGTGCCCTATACGAAAGAATTATCTTTATTTTTTAAAATGTTTCAACACTTCAGATACATTTATATGCTGTATAAAGCTTTCTTTTCCCGTACTTTTATGTCCACTGCATGCAGAACTGAAATTGTGAAAATGTTTACATGTACATGTAGTTGTTGAATATTATGGTGAGAGTAATAGAAAGAACAAACTTCATTTAGGGCCTTTTTTTCATCCTTTGAATTTCTGAAAAATCAAAACTGTCCAGTTTTTAGTTGACATTGTTTTAAATATCACTAATGACTTGGACAATTGGTGACTGCATATCGCTTTAAAGTGACATAATGAAATAAGTCTTTACATGTATTCCCATATCCTGAAAATTTCTGCAGAAATAGTCAAAATTTAAACTGTTTTTCAATACAGCCTCTGATCCAAAATATACATTTATATAATGATGGCACTGTTTGTGAAGATTATAATTTTTTTTTTTAATCTTTTGGATTGAAGGATGTGCTCATATTTTAATTCTTTTTTTAAGGTACTCAAGTACACGTTTTCTGCAAAATTCTTGACCATTGCAATTTCACAAAGCTTGTGTTCCAAAATTTGGACTTTCAGAGGAAAATATGTCATAAGAAATGAAGGCACTAAAATCTCTTCCTTATATTGATGTTTGAAATGGGATCTAAGGTGTTAGTCAATTACAGTCTACCAATAATTGGTATATGACAGGGCCATTTTATACATAAAGTGAATCTAGCTCTTTAATTGTGATAATTATATACATTTATTTGTTTGAGAAATTTGCAAATTGAAATACACTGATACCTTTTGAACATTAGCACAAATTCAGTCTGTTGGTCAACACTCCTATGTGCTGCAGTAACTTAAGAACTTCTTCATCAAATGACTTTATATTACATGTATATATGTAGGGAATTGTAAAAGGAAAATTTTATGTTGAATGTTGTGGTGTTCCTCAAAATAAAACAGCTGTTGTTCATTGATAAGTACATGGTTGTTATCATTTGATGATAATTCAGTTGTTGTCTTCTAACAGCTTGGTGGAGATATCGCTGGATTCCCTGGGAGCTTTGGTACAGAACATACACGACCTCCCTAACTGTCTGACAGTAGTACTTAATTCACTGGATCTCACCTACGGAGCTGGCATGGATGAGGAAATTGGTAAAAATTTTGTCAATGAAAAAAATCCAGGAGAATTTCTCAGATTAAGATGTTTATTTTTTTTATGTCTCTGATGTTGAAATGTCTTTGGTCATTCAATTTTGCAAAGTACATGTAACTAAAAATATGTGGTACATGTATTGCAGTTTGAAATACCGAATATTGTTTTCTTTGTAATTAAATCGTATCAGCTAGCTTGTAAGATTCCCAGTTGTGAACACAGAATCTTATCCTTGTTTTGCAGTATGAGTTCACAAAGGAATTTTAAACAAATATCCATGTTTTGGTACATTTGTAGATATGGAAAGTGAGCAACAGCTAATAAGTGGTCAGATACTGACCAGTGACTCAGCCATTGACCTGTTGACCACTACCCTTCAACAGACCTCCGAGACAGGGTTTAAGACACTCAGGGATTTATTGGTGTTTCTGACTGCTTCCATCAGCTTGGGAGACAGAGTAAGCAAAGCTCAAAATGTTTTGTTGTGGCATACCTAAAAGACATATCTTGTGTATTTGTTTCAAGATGTAATTGATTTATGTTTGCCCATGAAAATAGGGATAAAAAACAGTATTGCCAGTGAAAACCTAATTACAAGGGGATAAGCATTTTGCATCTTGTATCAGTTGACTGTCTGAAAAAGTACATTAACTTTGTAGCTGAGAGGCAACTTTTTTTTTGTAGAATGAAATCTGATTCGTGCTATCTTAAAACAATGTCAGGTATGCTCTGCTTTTAATGCAAACTTTTTTGTTGGTATGAGCATGGAAAAAAGCAGAAAATCTTTCACTTTTTTCAGAAGTGATCAGGATTCATTCTGTAATAAAGATATGATGTAGTTGAGTTTACCTTGTACATTGACATTCACTGACTTGACTTCGTGTTTGTTTTGTCAGGACGGTATAACCCCAGAGATTAGTGAGGCAGTAAATGACCTCATTCCCAGAACCAGCTCCTTGCTTCAGTCTTATGCCACACTAAAGTGGACCTCTAACAAAGTGGCTACTCCAAGTCATTCAAATTCAGTGTAAGTCAAGTCATGTATAACTACAACATTTGCAGAGTGAAAGTGGAAAAATCATAATACATGTCCCTTTTACATGCTTGTTCAATCCCCTAGGTTGATAAGATACCAATATGAAAAATGAATCTTATGATCTTCTGATTTCTGAATTCTGAAAAAGTGTCAATGAATTTTATTGTCATCTGCTTTTAGATCGAAACTTTTCATCTTGTATGGCCTGTATGTATTTTAGGGAACTGAATCTTCGTCAATTGGCCACTCTTGAATTAACAGATAACTCTGGATTAAGCAGCACACAGAGAGCAGGTTAGATTGTCATGTATTCTTGTTTCAAACACAGTTTGAGGAGGATGGGGATTAACATTTGAGTTCCTTTTCATGCTAATTAAAACAAAGCCAAAGGCAATTGTGAAAAAAAGAGTTGTAGCAGTAGGGGCAGTAATTTTTGTGAGCATGCTTACAATATCTGTTTTGTACTGAAATGTTGAAGACTGTTTTATTGAATACTAGAAAAGCTCAAAAGTATGATCTGTAGATAACATAAAGACTGAATGACACTGAGATTTGAATTCAAAGATGTATCATGAACTCTGCTGTGTTTGATTCATTTCTTCAGTTACAGTATTTTTTTTCCAAATTAATTTTACAATTTTAACATTTTTTTCCAACCCTAGGGCCATGAAATTCACAATTTTGGAAGAGGCACCCTTGCTCATCATAACTATGCACTTAGTTTGTTCCTAAATTATGACAGTATAATATTTTAGGGCTTTTCCAGGAAAAAATGTACGGGAGGGTTGGACGGCACTTCATATATTTTTGTATGGGTAGTGGGTCTGGAGCAATTAAATTTGTATGGGTGGTTGTCTTCACTCGATATATTTTTAGATGGGTGGTTGTATTTACCTTCACAAATAATCAAGTGCAAAGTACTTCTTTCCTCTCATTTTGTATAAATTGGTAAATACTGATATTTTCGTCCTAAACAGTTGTAAAGTGTGTTTACATTGAAAGTGAAAGTAGAATCGAACAAAACGGAAACAAGGGCAGATAACTATAAAAGCATGTGCAACTGTGACTGCAATGACAGTGGGGGATTGGAAAACGGATTAGTTGTGCTTTGGACTCCCTGGTCCAGTTTTTTTTCGCCAGTTTAATCAAACATGATTACATTGGTAAATTAAATGATATTAGAAACAATCAGAAAGATCGTTTTATTTTAAACCGAAAGTAGAAAAAAACGTATCTGATAATGAACGTTTTAGAGCATGACTACGGAGTTTGCAAGTCAAATATTCTACTTTATACCACATACAGAGTAAAAGGAAGATGAGATATGAGTTTGAAAACAATATGAAATATATTATGTCAAAAACATGCCAGTCCTTAACCTATTAAGTGTTAACTTGTCGAACTTGTATGCACCAATGGTCTAAGTTGTTAGATGGGATTAATAATTCATTAAATATATTTTTTAAATCAAAGTTTTCACTTCACAGACACTGCCTACAGAAGTTTAGTCCCCCCCCCCCCCAAAAAAAAAGAAAAAAAGCAGGAATCATTTTGTTATGAAAAGGTGAACAACAATTGTTGAGGATAACTAGGCTATAATTTACAATATTAATTTTAATTAATTGTAGGAATGTCATTTCTACTAGTACATGTGTACACATACTTGTAAAAGATTTACCTAAGCTTTACAGACTAAAAAGTCATGCATCAGAACAGATATACAAATCACTATAATAAAGACTTTCAGTGGTGTGTATCATAGGCCTAAAGGAACATATTTTTTTAAGCTGTAGCAGGAACACAGGGAACTGTTTTACCAAAAAACTTATGACTAAGACTAAAAACTTTAGTTGTTCATAAAATCTTACAAAACTTATGTTTCTGTTAAAAATTGTTGGCATAAAACTATCTTATTTTTTTTCCGAAAGATTTAAAACATTTTTAAAGTAATGCAAAAAAGAAATTTATTTGCATAATAACATTTTGATCTTAGTCATAAGTTCTTTTGTAAAACGGGCCCTGGTTGGATAGATGTCAAAACCCAACACTCATTCGGAGTCAGATAAATTACAATAACTGAAAAAAGTAGATAAAATTTTATTGAATATATATGTGTGACACAATTTTTTTTTTTAAATTTAGATGGGTGGTTGTATCAAAAGCAATTTTAAATTGATGGGGGGTGGGGTAGAAGGTAATTAAAAATGTATGGGTGGTGGGGTAAAAATAAAAGTGCCTTCCAACCCCCCCATACAATTTTTCCTGGAATAGCCCTTAGTGAAGACCTCATCTTTTCCAGCAACCTCCAATTTAACAGTGGCAGAGCTCTTTATCAGAGGTATCGGTGGAAGCCAGGCACGAGTGAACCTGACTCGTAGAGAGAGATTCCTCGACAACACAAAACAGATATGCAGCTGGGCTGTTTTAGGAATAACCAGGCACATTCAACTGTTACTATGGCCTCTTAATGAAACCTTTGTGTTCCCAGAATTCCTAGCTAGCTGTTGTCAGTACCTTCCTCTTCAGGAGTATTCATTTCTGCTGAATCATTGGTGTGACATGAACCCTGCCTCCAGGAAGTTTATGCTGGGACTCTGTTACCTACACTTTGGGTAAGATCTCCTTGTAGTGTTTTTGGAAGGTAAGCCCAGTAAGATGTTTTCTGTTTGAAATTTTCATGTTCTCAATCTTTTGATACTACTTGAATATGTACTTAGTCATAATTTATATTAATTTGCATATACATGTAAAGCTGTCATCAGGGACTTCCATTTATTTTCTATCATGGGTCAGTCTTTCAATTTGTCCCCATATCAAGTCACTCTCTTTCTCAGAGATCCCTTTAGTGGACCATTTTAAGTATCCTTAATGGTTTTCATCTCTTTCGTTCCCCTGGTGGTGTCCATCTCAAAACAATTTTTACTAAATAGTCTAATTGATTTCTATAGGTGTGTTTAATCATCTTCCTCTCTTTTGCTTCATTTCTTATGATATGCCATCTCCTGTGGCTCTTCAAAGTAGATTGAGATTAAAAAATGCGTAAAATCCTCTGGAAGCACCTTGTTTGAAGGACGACTAACTTGTTGTTTTTAGCATATACTGTATACAAGGTTATTTTCGCCCCTTGTTATTTTCGCCCTTTCACACTTGTAAACAATTTTGCCCCATCTTAAATTCGCCCAGTCACAGTTTTGTTTAAGAAATTATTCTGCATTCTTTGATTTCGCCCCGTTTTAAAATTCGCCCATCTGTGGGTAGGGCGAAAGGGGCGAAATTAAAACGGGGGCGAAAATTTCCCTGTATACAGTATGTATGTTTGATCCCCAAGATTTTGTATGTAGTGATCTTAATTTGGGTTTAGATTTGATCTTAATGTACATGTCCATATAATTTTATTTGTACATGAATATTTTAACATGTTGAATGCTCATATTCTTCATGATAGCAGTTGACTAGAGATTTTGTATGTTGGATATTTCAGGGAGCCAGAGAAAGCTGCTCAATGTTACACTGAAGCTAAAGAGGGCTTAGAAAGGGAGCCTTTCTTACGACAGAGTCTGCTACAAACATACGAAACTAACCCACGAACACTTGAAGTTCTGTACTATCTCAAGGTAAGTGAAACCCTTCTTACGACAGAGTCTGCTACAAACAGATGAGACTAACTTACAGACACTAGAAGTTCTGTACTTTCTAGGGCTGAAACAATTCACTGAAATATTGATACTGTTCAATATAATTGCCCAATTCAATGTTCAATTCATTATTTCAATTTTCAGTTCAATACATTTCTTTTTAAAATCGAGTTCAATTACACCTTGAAATGGATCAGGCTCGACCTCATTTCAATAGTTTGACACACTCGAGGGAGCACTTTGATTTTAAAACTGTCACTGTCAATGGAAGGCAAGTAACTGAACATGAAATGAAAAGACAGTGTGTGTAGAATTTGTTACAATATGACGTTAGCCAGAAGGCTTGGAATACTTCCAATATGGCAGCCCTCCTGAAACGAAAGTTTGCGATATCAGTGAGTGACAATACTGTGTCATCAAGTAAAATTCCCCAACGTCCATCTACCTCCATACTGGTGTTAAACTCAGTGGGAACAATGTTGACATGCTGGATTTTCTCAAATAAAGTCTTCGAGTTCCATGTGACTTGTATTAGAATGGCATTTTATTTAAAATTATTTCATCACTTTTAATCTAAAGAAGCACAAGAAGTGATCTTTATTGTATCACCAACTTTTTACTTGTCTTCAAATTTCAAATGGTGTTAATCTCAAAATGTTGAAATATTTTGTATTATCCAGTGTATACACCAGTACTGGCATTTCATTGACAGGTTATCAGACAGTTTGAGGAGTTAGACTGTGCTGACATGGTGGTTCATTTGGCTAGGACGGCTATTAGTATTGCAGATGAAGATGATGAGAACACGGTAGGTCAGGGAATACTTCTCCTTCCTGGATGAAGCTGGTTAATTAAAGTTTTCATTCCATAAAGAAAATATCTTGTGAATACTGTTTGGAAAGAATATCTGATGAAATAACTAATCGCCCATCATGAAGTGTATCAATAAAAAAGTTAGCTATTAATATTTGCTAAGATATTTAGTGAAAAGAATTTTTTTCCTATAGGCAACCTTGTGGTCAAAGATGTTTAAATATCAACTTGAGCTCGGTCACAATGATGCAGCGTACAATGCAATGGTCAGCAATCCAGACCCATCTAGGTAAATGAAAATTTCAATCAGTTTAAAGCTTTTCAGGCTTTTCAGTTTTCATCCTTGAAGATAACCCTAGGGAGACATGCATGGTACAAAGACAATGTAAATTGTGTGAGCTACTGATCAAGACTTGTGAAATTTTAAGAAACAGCTTTTACTCTCCCTGAAAAAAGTACAAGTTTTTTTTGACATAAGGTTTTGTCTGATTACAGGAGGAAAGACTGTCTAAGACAACTACTAGTGACCTTGTGTGAGAGAGGTGACCTTCAAACACTGGTGGGCTTTCCATACATTGATCTCCAGGATGAGGTAAGTTATTACTCTATCATTCTACTCAACTTGTCTAAATTCTTGGGAATATAGTTTTTGGCCTGTCTGTCTGTCTCTCTGTTTATTTGTTACTTTAACCTTAGCCATAAATTTTGAACAGTTTGTGCTAGGGCTTTTATATTTCACTTGTGTGTTCCTTGTGACAAGAATTTTCTTGGGTACCAACAATTTTGACCTCTTTGTGACCTTGACTTTGTAGTTAAACCTTTTGAAAAACTTATCTTTGCCATGAGCTGCTGTATTGAAGGGGGGGGGGGGGGGCATCAGTGTTTCACAAACACATCTTGTTCTATTAAAGGTCATGTTGAGCAAAGTCCATTGAAAGCAGGAAATTATTTCAAACATGAAGAATTTATAACTACAGGTAACTCTTGATGGCTCGAACTTCGATCTCTCAAAGTTCTTGATTGCTCGAAGTGAGTCTCCGGTCCCAAATTTTTCCCCTATATAACTAAGCAAATTTACTCTTGATTTCTCGAACTCTTGATCTCTCAAATCCCTTGATCCCTCAAAGTTAGAATGCAGTCCTGCTATGCATATTCTATTGGAATTTACCCTCGATACCTCGAAGTGACTATGTCTACACAAGGTTACGTAATTAACCTCTTCACCTGGACATTTAAATGGCCCCAGGCAGAAGACGCGGTACTCAAGGAACAGGATGTTTTTTTCAGGTGACACTTATACTGCGAGATGATAATCGATTTATAATTAATAATATTTTACCTATCTGCTATTAAATTAATTAACATCGACTGTCTTTCGATAATCTAAGAGACACAGCGAAAAGTAGAAATTTGGTACAAGACGAGACACTAATTAAATTTTTACTTCAAGTCAGTGTCAAAGTTAGTTGAAAAATGAAAAATCAGAAACTATGCATAACAGTCTCGATGTCAATATGATGACTTTTACTGGACAAATACCTACAGGTCATGTTTGGTATCAACATGTACAAATAGTAAATGCTATGTACGATGCTGTAAAATGTCATTTCATTTAACGAATGCATAGTATGATGTTCTTATTACATAGAATAAATAAATATACATGAAATGACAATATCCTTTTTTTTGCTTTACTCAGTTTAATAAATTATTCACCTGAAATACGAAAAAATATCTTTATTTTATAAAAACCACGTGTAAAAGGTTAGCACTTGAGGGAAAATCATTACATCCGGTAAGACTAATTTCAAAACCTGTCAACCAACTCGGAAAATTCTGGACTCTTGAAAACTGGAACTCTTGATCTCTCGAAGTTTTTCTTCGGTCCCGTGGACTTCGAGGTATCGAGAGTTACCTGTATTCTGTTTGTTGTTTGATAGGTTGTATCTATCCTGGAATCTCGAGCCAGAGCTGTGGACATTACAACACAAAATTATTATGATCTCCTGTATGCCTATTATGTGTCCAGAAACAACTTTGGAAAAGGTTTGTATGGCTCAGATCAAAATACTGATACACTGTATATTTTTCTCTGAGGGTTTTTAAGGTACATGAAGACCCTTGTTGGAAGTTCGAAGAGAGTCATCAATTTGTGAAGTCTGTGTTTATTATCACTAAAAACTTTTTTTTTTTAATATTTACTGAGTTTGATCTATAAATGTACATTTAAGTACAAAATGTATGTATTTTGGCCACTAGAACATTTTTTCACCCACTACTCTGTTGTGTGTTTTGCAAAAAAAACCCATTTAATTGCTCAAAGTACTAACTGTAAATTCTTAATCTACCTGTATATATAATTGATTTCAGCTGGGTCTGTGATGTATGAGCATGGAATGAGGCTGGGGAGAGAGGTAACCTCCAGACAAGGGCTCCAGAAACAAGCTCACTGTTACCTAGCAGCCATGAATGCCCTTAGACTGGTGAACCCAATGTATGCCTGGATTGTAAAACCCACCACCAGCATTGACCCTCAGGTAAGAAAGATAATGTGACAAATAGTAAGGTAATGTCATAAATACATGTATGATAATTTGCTTTATGTCTTGTAGATGGTAAAGGGCATCATGTCAGGCAAACGTAACATTGAAGGAGACGAAAAAGAAATGCAGAGTAAGAGTTTTTAAATTAACATACAATATACATGTACTTTTGAACATTAATGTATGGAGTGTATTCTATACTGAAATGAAAAAGAAACGCATACCTTATTATATAAGGTTCGCATTTATTACTATGCGAGACAATGATAGCCAAATATAATTTTATATAACAGCGGTTTTTTTTTTCCTTATATAACTGGTACTGATAAACAGTACCATTCCCCATGCCGAAAAATGCTAATTTTTCCCAATTTTAAAAATTCCCAATTCAACTGCCAAGCAACAGACTATGATGACATTGTATTTCTTTTATAATGAAACATACAAGTTGACTAATTCTTTCACTTTCACTTACCGGTAAATCGAAAGTAGAGATTAGTCGTAATATGGCGGGACCTGTGGAGGAGACAGTGTAGTGTCATACATTTTGACAAATTGAAAGCATGAAAATGCAAAAGGCAAGGGACATTGATATGAAAAAAAATAAATACTTGTTTATTCTTTGAAACACAGAATAATAGTTAATGAGGTTGGAATAAACACAAAATATGTTTTATTTGTTTAAATGACAGAAAATTCTCCTTTGTTCTACTTTGATGCTACTTTTCCCAATTGAACCAGTACTGGACCCTTTCCCAATTGGTAGAAAAAAGTGCTGTATAATATTTCATTCATATTTGTCATTAATCAAGGCAGCTACTAGCTGTGTCAGTGTGATATAATCAAGGCAGCTACTAGCTGTGTCAGTGTTATATCATATTTATCTGAACATAAATAGATTAAATACAAGTAATTATTTTCACAGCACCAAAGAGAATGGAAGTACTGGAGTTAAAAGACATTGAAAGGGAGTTCATGTTAGTTGATGCTCGCCTTCAGCTGTTGAAACATGACAAGACTAATTCTGTGGGATCAGGTGAATATTGATAGAAGAACATGTATTCTGAAGCAAATTGTAAACGTCTGAGGTTTGATACAGCCACAAATCCAATATTATGATAAATGGATCCAAGATTTCAAATTAGGGATAGAGTTATGGGGATGCAGGGTTAAAAAAAAAATAAGAAGAAGAAAAACAATTAAGATCACATAGTGATGGTTTTTATGCTGCATGTATTTCAAATGGTCAAAATACACGTAAATTACTTTTTAAGCCTTTTTGCAGAGATTATTCAATTTTCATAGAAATAAATGGGGTGGTGGAGTTAAAGGGACTAGTTTGCATGCCTGACCCCCTCATTCTGACACTAATTTTATCATTTAAGACCAGTATTTTTTTCAGTTCAGGAAGTAATGGAAATTGTGTGGCCTTATTACTGTCATATTCAATTCAAGGACAGACACCCAAAAAAATTTACATGCAAGACCATCATAATCTTACTGGTTTTCTTATTATACATGTAGGTCCCACACCAGGAGCAGATGAGATGGTGGGCTTACTGGTGAATGCTGGGATGTATGATCGAGCTCTTACAATATGTCAGATGTTTGATATGAAGCTGACATCTGTGTTCGACAGTCTCGCTCTGAGGTATTAAAGTTACATGTATGTCAATACTTTATTATCCATGAATTAAGGTTGGATGCTGGGGACAAATTACAATGAAATCCCCTGCTGAGATTTGAACCCAACCAGGTTATGGTGAATTAGGACCACCCCCCCCCCCCCCTTTTCAAACACACAACATGCACAAATACAAATCTTAGGATTCACAACACAGATTTTGGGTTTACAACACATGTATTTTGTCCATAGTAATTTGACCCTAGATCACTGTTTTGCACTTAAATATCAAATGACTGTGGAGATGTGTGAAGAAATGAAATCCTGTTGAATTATAATGCTGAAGGTATTGTTTGGAGGGTCTAGGTGTTCTGATATATCTTTTCATTGATTCCGTTTCCTGTTCCAGGTGTGTGAATCTTGCTAAAAGTTGCAGCCATTCCACACTAGCAGACAGTACGACCTTGACCCGGGCTTGGGACTGGCTCAAACTGAACAGTCTGACAGCACCAAGCATTAAAGAGAGCAGGTAAAAGAAACTCTTACAAAACATTGTCTTATACTGTATGTACATTTATCAATATGGAATATGAATCAATTCAAGTTTGACACTCATTTAGAATCAATTTTTAAAGGCATAGCAATCAATTTTATTGTAGACGTATACCGGTACATAAATATTTTTTAGATTTTTTAATCAGAAAAAAGGCTCTAAGTGGTTCCTCAATTTGCTAATAATCGCAAAAATAAAATAGTGAAAATATTCTGATGACATTAAAATATTTTTTAACCCCCCCCCCCCCCCCCCCAACCCCTACCTTGAAAGTTTTCATGGTAATATAGAGAGAATTATGAAAACATACTCATACAGTTTAGATGAAATAATGTTCAAATCTTTAAAAAAAATAAATTCATTGAATTCAAATAATTTTGTTGAAATAACTTTCAATGGTTGACCTTGTGAATCTGTGTTTTACAGTGCTGCAGACACTGCCTGGAGCCTCCTACAGTATTACCTAAGGATCCATGAGGATAACACAGCAAGACTTCATCGCACCATCGTAATTCGTCTTCTCTCTCAAGGCTTCCCTCTTCCATCCTGGCTTGTCAAATCTTACAAGGTAAAATACACTGTGCTTGTCACACTTGACTGGACTTCTATACTTTTTAGCTTAGCTGAGCCAAAGGTGCAAGAGAGCTTTTCTGATCAAAATTTGTCTGTGGGTGTCGTCAGCATAAACTTTTCACATTTTCAACTTCTTCTCAAGAACCACTGAGCCAATTTCAACCAATCTTGCCAGAAAGCATCATTGGGTGAAGGGGATTTAAGTTTGTTTAAATGAAGGACCATGCCCTCTTTTAAGGGGAGATGAATAAGAATGAAATCAATTAGATTCAAATTTTTTTGTTGTTGAAATCATGACCCCTGGGTAGGGTGGGGCCACAATAACTGATCAAAGTTTTACACAGGAATATATTGGAATTTTTTTTTTTTTTTTAAATCTGCTTCTCAAGAGCAGCAAAGCTATAATTAGTCATATTAATGTTAGGGATGTCAAATATATTTCCTAAGTCAATTATTCAATTTTATTATTTGAAATAGTTGAATATTTGGAACATTTTCTGAAATAAATTTTGATCAAAGACTAAGCAAGACTTATTCTTTGGGTAATTCACTGGTACATGACATATATTTATGACTCAAAAACTCTTTCACTTAAATTTATTAAAGATTCATAAGTGATATTTTGTAGGAGCTATCCTGAGGTTATATACATGTACATACTAAGAATTCTGATTTATCTCAAATAAGACTGTAATGACTAGTGATACTTTGTAGGAACTGAACTGGTCAGAGCTTCTGAGGTTGTATACAGATTATGACCAGTTGGAGGATGCTGTTCTATTGACCATAGAATATGTGGACGCTTTACTGGGGACATACACAGGGCCTGATTGTCCAGCATTTAATATTAAGGTAAAAAAATTATTTCTACGCAGGAGATCTTTTTAGCTCACCTGAGCTGAAAGCTCAAGTGAGCTTTTCTGATCACCCATTGTCCGTCATCTGTCCGTCCGTCCGTCCATCTGTAAACTTTTCACATTTTCAACTTCTCAGAAACCACTGGGCCAATTTTAACCAAATTCGGTACAAAGCATTCTCAAGTAAAAGGGAATTTAAATTGTTAAAATAAAGGGACAAACCCCCTTACAGGGGAGATATTCAAGAAAAGACAAAAATAGGGTGGGGTGATTAAAAAATCTTCTTCTCACGAACCACTGGGCCAGAAAAGCTGAAACTTACGCTGAAGCATTCTGGGGTAGTGTAGATTCTAAATTCTAAAAATTATGACCCCCGGGGGAAGGGCGGGGTCAAAATAGGGAATCCAAGTTTTACATTGAAATACATAGAAAAAATCTTAAAAATCTTCTTCTCAAGAACCACTGGGCCAGAAAAGCTGAAACTTCTGTGGAAGCATCCTTCTGTAGTGTAGATTCTAAATTATCAAAATCGTGACCCCCGGGGGAAAGGCGGGGCCACAATAGGGAATCCCAAGTTTTACATTGAAATATATAGAAAAAATCTTTAAAAATCTTCTTCTCAAGAACCATTGGGCCAGAAAAGCTGAAACTTACATGGAAGCATCCTTGGGTAGTGTAGATTCTAAATTTTTAAAATCATGACCCCAGGGGGCAGGGTGCGGCCACAATAGGGAATCCAATTTTTATATTGAAATATATAGAAAAAAAATCTTCTCAAGAACCACTTGGTCAGAAAAGCTAAGACTTTTGTAGAAGCATCCTGGGGCAGTGTAAATTCTAAATTATTCAAATCTTGGCCCCTGGGGGTAGGGTGGGGCCACAATAGGGAATCCAAGTTTTACATTGAAAAATATAGGAAAAATCTTTAAAATCTTCTTCTTAAGAACCACTGGGCCAGAAAAGCTGAAACTTATGTGGAAGCATCCTTGGGTAGTGTAGGTTTTAAATTGTTAAAATTATGACCTCCGTGGGTAGGGCGGGGCCACAATAGGTATTACAAAAAAAGTTGTCTGGTGAAGAACAGCAGGGCCAAAGTTATTCAGGTGAGTGTTGTGGCCCATGGGCCTCTTGTTTGTGAAGTATAAGGTTAAGATTTCATAACTTGACCACTTCTGATTTAACGTTTCTATAATGTATACATGTCAGGATCTTGTAGTAAGCATGGCATATTTATTCCTAAATAATATTTACTGTGGTGGATTTAAAATTGGTATACAAATGCTTATGGCAGTGTCAAGTGTTGAAATATATGCTCAATGAAATGGAACTTTTATTTTCAGTCATCCCTCAGGCCTACTCCTTTAAATAATTGGTTACCTTACACCTGTATTGATCAGCTGCTAAGGGCCCTCAAAGATGTCAAACAGGATATTCTCTATGAAAGGGTAAGCTTTCCTATCGTATGTATTTCAAATTGTCCATAGTTCACTTCAGTGTCACATAGTTTTTACACACCATGAGGGTATCCATTACATAAAGGCAAACCAAGCTGAAAATAATTTGAAGATGGAAGGAGAACATTTTTAGCTCACCAGAGAGGAAAATGCTGATATGGTCCTATAAATTCCCCTGAAGAAATGAGGCTCCAAAAAAGATAAAATAAAAGAGGTCCCCTACAGGATAACTGAACATTATACAAATTTAGATAAAAACAAATATAGAGTAAATGTGACACTATTAGTTTGAAAAGGAGTTGGATGGTACTCAGGTGACTGTTAAGGCCTATGGGCCTCTGATTTGATAACCTTTGTAAAATAAGATGATAAATCTTCATAATTTCCTTTTGAAAATGATTGTTGATGTAATTATGTAATGCTGAGTGAATTTTCTTTCTCAGCTGTCAGAAAAACTGGAATACACTCTTGCCAACTACCACCAGAAGATGAGGAATATATCGGACAAACTCTTACTGAGATAACAATAGCTTACCTGTGTTGTAACTTTGAATCCTAAGAAGAAATGTTATGTCATTACTTAGAAGAGAGGGGGCATGCATTTATGAAAAGTGCAATAGGGAGAAAAGATGTTTGACTATCGTGTACTGGAGAGCTAATATTTGAATGTTTTTTCTATAACAGTTTTTGTATTAAAGTATGTCTGAATAAATTAAATGAAAGCTTTCTATATATATTTTATGGTTTCCTATTATTTTATCCCTTTGTCTTCAGAACTATGACTACCCAGATGATTCATTGAAGACCAAGCACAATTGCATTTGCGGGGAAAATAAATTCCCTGAATAATAGGGGTGCAACGGTACACCAACCTCACGATACGATACGTTTCACGGTATTCAGTTCACGATACGATACGTATCACGATACATGACAAGGTTAAAAAGTCTTTCAAGTTTGTCATCATAATTTTTTAAAACTTGACAGGGTTGTATGAAATGTTCATATTTTTTGATAATAATGATTTAAAAAATCATTTTTTTAACTTGAATTGGATTGATAGGTAGAACTTTGAGTCGTGACAATATTCTAAACCAATGATGAACATTTACAGGGAACTACGGGGACTTTTCCCAATAAATTAATCTTCTTTTTAAATTGGAATGAAAAAGGAAGACATTCATTCATTTATTTACGTAGAAAACCAGTTGTCATATTTCTCGTGTTAACACGTTTTAGTCAACAAGACAGCAAATTTTCATCAAGATACACGCATGGTGAGATATTGTGTATTACCAAAGAATACTTTTAGATCTGAAGGGTTTATCATTTGTCTTAACATCTATAACTTTTAATCACATTAAGCCCTTCTCCTTGTTAAATCTGAGGACTGTAAGATGCTGGATAGGAGTTTAACTGCCGTTAATCAGTTAATGCGATATCGTTGACCTCACGTTTTGCGCGGAAGCCATTTTGAAATTGTAAACGGGGAAACAAAACGGACGATTCGGATAATTCTGGACCGATGGAACCGAACCGCGATATCCGTCTAGTGTATCGTGAATTGAACCGTGGAAAAATATACCGCGATATACCGTCAAATGGTTTATCGTTGCACTCTTACTGAATAAGATTTTTTTTATATTTCAGAACAGCAAAGCCATGATGAATCATATTTATATGGAAGCATTCTCAGGTAGTCTAGATTCAAGTTTGTTTAAATCTTGACCCCTTGGATAGGGCGGGGCCATTCTCAGGTAGTGTAGATTCAAGTTTGTTCAAATCTTGACCCCTGGGGATAGGGCGAGGCCACAATGGACTATCAAAGTTTTACATAGAAATATATAGGAAAAATCTTCTTCTCAGAAACAGCAAAGCCCAGATTGTCATATTTATATGAAAGCATCCTCAGGTAGTGTAGATTCAAATTTATTCAAATCATGACCCCCAGGGGTAGGGTGGGGCCACAATGGAGGATCAAAGTTTTACATAGAAATGTATTGGAAAAATTTTGAAAATCTTCTTAGGAACAGCAAAGCCCTGATTGATCATATTTATGTGGAAGCATCCTCAGGTAGTGTAGATTCTATTTTCTTAAAATCATGACCCCCGTGGGTGGGGTGGGGCCACCATGGAGGATCAAAGTCTTAAATAGAAATATATAGGAAAATATCTTCTGAAGAAGAACTGCAAACCATGATTAGTCATTTTGATATGGAAGCATCCTCAGCTAGTGTAGATTCAGTTTTGTTCAAATGATGACCCCCAAGGGAAGGGTGGGGCCCAACTGGGGATCGAAAGTTTTACATAAGAACATATAGAAAAAATATTTCTTCTCAAGAATAGAAAAGTTATGTTTAGTCATATTGATATGGAAGCATCCTCAGGTAGTGTAGATTCAAGTTTGTTCAAATGATGACCCCTGGGATAGGGAGGAGCCACAATGGGGGATCAAATTTTTACAAAGGAATATATGGGAAATTTTTTTTTAAAATCTTCTCAAGTACAACAAAGCCATTTGTTATATTGACATGAAAGCATCATCAGGTAGTTTAAAATTCAATTGAGAATTATTCAAATGTGTCCAAGATTGTATGACCTTGACCTCATTTTCTTTATTTTGCCTTTAGCCCGGTTTCGAAGAAACTATTAGAGATATTAAATTTAAAGAAGTGTCCAATTTTTTATTACCTTGACCTTCCCAATGACCTTTGACTTTACTATTTATTGTGTATAAAATTTAGTTTTATAGAAACTATTTAAGATATTCATACACTAATATAAATTTTCATGTTGCAATACTTATGAACCCTGGGTGGGGCATTCATGTCCTATGGACATATTATCAGATGCATGGATACCTTTTTTTCTAAACTGCAATTTTCTTCAATTTTAACTACAAAATGCACAATTGATGTTTTCATTCATGTTTATTTGAGATTTTGTAATTTTCCTGTATTATATGATACTAATGATGAACTTTGAAGAAAATTACAACTGAGTAGACTGAGGCACATTGCTTCTGAATTCACTGACATTTTTGTGATAATTCCCAGTTACTGAAGTAGACATGATGAGAGATAGACAACCTTAATATTCTCTTCTTTTAGTGAAAGTTGGGAACACAAAAAAAGATGGGAAAAGTTTAAAATATTTATTTGAGTAGTACAAGTAAAAGTCATGCTTTCATAAATATGGAGAAAAAAATCTATTTCACAAGTCATCCACTGACAACAGGTTTAGTCACATGCAGCCACACTGTCTTCTTTTTTCAATCAACTCCATCCACTCAGAAAGGGTAATATTCCTCATCCTTCTGCTGCCTGAAGTGGACAGAAAATGCTGTTACATTTATTTATAATTGATGACAACTCTAACTTTCTCTAAAGTGTAAAAGGCTAATAGCACTGATACTTAAAAAAAAGCGAAATGTGTTTGTGAAACACAGATGTCCCTGTATGGCAGCTCAAGGCCAAGGTTAAAGTTTTTCAAATGTAGGTCAAACTCAAGGTCAAGAGATCAAAAATGTTGATACCCAAAGAAAAGTCTTGTCATCAGGAAAACAGATATGAAATATAAAAGCCCTAGCAACCAACAATCAGAAAATATGGCAATGGTCAAAGTTTTTTTCAAAAGTTAGGTCATACTCCAAGGTCATGAGGTCTAAAATATTGGTACCAAAGGAAAGGTCTTGTCACAAGGAATATATGAGTGAAATAAGAAAGCCCTAACACCAACTGTTCAAAAAATATAGACAAGGCTTAAGTTTTTATATTGTAGGTCAATGTCAGGAGGTTAAAAATGTTGGTACCCAAAAGAGGGTCTTGTTACAAGGAATACACATGTGATATATGAAAGCCCTTAATGCACCAACTGGTTAAAGTTTTTCAATGTCAAAAAAGTTGGTATCCAACAAAAGATTTGGTCACATGGAATATACATGAAATATAAAAGCCCTAGCACCAATCATTCAAAGTTATGGCATAGGTTAAAGTTTGGTAAAAATTTTCAAAAGTAGGTCAAACTCCAAGGTCATGAGGTCAAATATGTTGGTACCCAAAGAAAGATCTTGACACAAGGAATACACATGTGATACATGAAAGCCCTAGCACCAACCATTCAAAAGTTATGGCCAAGGTTAATTTTCTGTGGACAAACAGATTAATAGACAGACCAAAAACCATATCCTTGAATCTTTGATTACTGGGACCTAAATAAGATGAATTTTCATAGTGGGAATTGGTCATAATGAAGCACTGCTACATTACAGGAACCAAACTGATTTGATCTGAGCATTAAGATATTTGATTAGTTTCATAACTTCCATGTTTAAGAAATTATAATCCCCCTACCCCCAAAAAATAAATCAAGGGCCTAGAAACACCCTTCTATTAAATTGCAGAACAGGCAATAACAAACTACATCGTGTACAGGTTCCAAGGTGCACCAAAAAGACACAGGTTCTAGATGTTTTAATATTTCTTTTTATAAATAAAAAAGTTCCATACTGCAATAATAACTATACACAGATTTATTTTAAAATGTCAAGTGCCTTTGATATAATATGGTGATGTGTACTAGATGGGTATGAAACAATACTGTATTTAGCAAATCAAAACATTACAAAATGAGGCTATCTTTACGTACTTTTGGGTTGCAGAAATCTTCATTAAAAGAAAAATACCTATGTTCGAAACTATCACACCCTACTCCTAGGGGGCATCAACCAAAATGGTTTGATGGTTTGAGTTTTCAACCAAACTTTAATTCCTGAAAATCTGACTTTTATTAGTACATGTATATGCAATTGTTATTCCTACAAGCAAGAGCCTTGGTTAACGTCCCTAAACTCCTTATATGCAGCCTCAAGTTAAAAGTATCTCACCGTGGTCCTCTGGCATGCTGGAGTAATGCAAGTGTATTCAGTACGTTAAAAGACCTCAAGATGTATGTGGTTTAATGATCCTTAACCTCATAGTGTAAGAGTTATCTATTAAAAAAGATTTGACAATAAATAGATATCAAATTCAAAAGAGGTCAATGTGATCTACTTTTGGATCAACATATCCCCTGGCACCAAAGCACATTACCAGTAAATGACAAGGTCTGATGATCACATGCCTCTTAGTATCCAATTTTTAAAAAAGATATGACAAATCAAAAAATAGGTCAGCATGACACCTTTTGGGTTCACACACCCCTGGGCCATAAGATACATCAAGTCTCTAGGTTTGGTTACCCTACATGTCATAGTATTCAGAATATGTTGGTTTAAAGGTATCAAAATGATATGCCATAAACTTCAGAAAGTACGTCACAGTGACCTACCTGATCCTAGTCCTCAAAGTGGGCAAAAGTTTATCATTTTAAGGAAGCTCTAAACACTGCACACTAAAGAGTTCTAATTGTAGGGTAGTTTTATACAGATAGAGTGATCTGCCCTTAGAAGTAAGATAGAAAAAATGGTTATTTATAGTTAATTACACAATTTGTAATAGATTAAAATATTCATAGCATTATATTAGACCAAAAATAAGTAATTGAATTCATTATTTCCATTACCGGTAATTTTCCCAATGTTGGTAAACAATAGTGATTTCTGTTCACGCATAGTCCATTGTCTTTGAACATTTTTCTTGCAGAAATAAGGCAGGTACCCTATGTTGAAAATGAATTAAATAGTCTTAATATGCACACCTTTATATGATATAATTTTCTCCAAGTCCAAAAAGCACTTTTTGTTAGTGTTTAGAGCTTCCTTAAGTCAAATTTGAAGAGACCTCAAACCACATCCTTAGCCCAAGGTAGACGCCTTTAACAAATATTACTTTACAATGTAGAATCATTCTGCCCAGTGGTTCACTGTTACCACCTCCTTTTCCTTCCTTCTCCAAGTCATGAGGCTGATAAGGCCAGAGCTTATACCAGTTTCTGTGGTGCTAAGCAGATAGAGTCATTGAATCCCCCTGGATGGGACACTAGTCCATTGCTGGTTAATTCCCAGTATTGGCCTGTATCAAATGCAGCTGGGTGGAAACAACGTGGATAAAGTGCTTTGCTTAAGGATGTAACACAGAAGATCAAGTGCATCTGGGCTTGAACCTTTGGGTTACTTGCCAAATTCCTATGACCAGAGAGCCATGTGCTCCATACTGTAACCACCACTACCTGACTCAAGAAGACTTAAGTCACTAATAACCACTACACAACACAAATGTGAAATCTTAAAAGTACATAAAGTGCACCACTACGGCACACGATACATCCTTCAGATATTGTTTATAAATAGATATTAAAGTGTGTATGTCAAGTCAACCTTAGTACAAAGATTTCAATGATTTCTATTGCTTTTAATGTTTGATGTACACTATACTTTATTAATAAGATCAAATGGTACATCCTAGGTTGTGAAACAAAAATGCCTAATCTGCAGCTTTGTTCATTGTTTAATTTATGAAAGATGATCAATGACACTGTCTAATAAAACATCAAAATACTAAACAAATCTGATTCAAATAGTCTTTGGTGCTTTCTGAAACTGACCTAGAAGCAAGGTAAAAATCTTTTCTTTTTAATTTCTGGTGTAACAAATTTTCATTATGTTTATGATTACACTGACAAAACTTCTGCATTCGTCGTCTCAGTGACGTATAACTATGATATAATACCAAATTAATTTTTGAAAAGAAAAGGCAAGCCATCAAAAGCTCTTTTGATTTGACAGACGCTATCAATTGCAATTGAGAAGCCATATCCATAAATTCACTACCCAATTTGCAAGATGTACTAGTCTACCCAATTCCCAAGATATACTAGTAAACCTGCTTGATCAGAGATGGTCCTACAGAAATTATTAGGGCAGACTTCGTGCATTCAACTCATTAATTAATATTTAATTTGGCAGATGCAATTTGTCTCTTATCAAAATTCCTTGTGCATGTTCAACTGAACCCCAACAAATTCCATGGATTGGATAATAACTCCCATAGGACAAATGGAATTACTCAATCTGTGTGTGATGAACTGGTTAAGTCTTGCATATTTGTAGCTGTATATTTATGTCATCATTGTTAGAAACAAAAAGAATTTTTAAAAAAAAACAACTATATATATATATATATATATATATATATATATATATATATATATATATATATATATTAGGGATGGCAATCAATAACAGAATTGCTAATCAGTTAATCGCAAGATGTTCCGACCAATTAATCGGTTAATCGTATCAAAATCTAAGTATTCATATATATATAAGAAGTTAGATGTTAGAAACTTTTACTTTATTTTCTTCATTTGGAAACTATATGTACATATGTTTTCTTCAATTTCAAAAGACAAGAAAAAATTAAGAAAACCATTACCCTTGCCTCAGAAATCAGACAAAGATTGGTCAGTGTAGATGTCACAAGTTCATTCCGCATTGTCACCATAATCAAAACTATGCTTTAACTTCCACTTAATTTACAATGCTTCTTCTAATGATATAATTCAATAGATAATGACACAAGATAGACATACTAATTCACAGTGCTCTACGGTTATTTATTTATCATCATAAAAGAATTACAGGACAGTTGAGAGGTTTGTTCCCATTTTGCACACATATGAAATTCATGTGAGGAAAAGAATGTGTGCAAAATGGGAATTTGTACAGGTAAGATAATTACTTAATTGCTATGGTCTGTATCACAGCTTGAGAATATGGGAAAGGGAAACCTATAGGGAAAGATTAGGAAATAAAGTCATATGCGTTTCATGTCTAAATTATTATTCTTTATTATAAGATTTTATTAATATTCATTTTTCAGTCAAATCATTCATGTGTTTGAAATGCATATAACAAATTTTCATTTATTAATTCGTTTATTCCTTTTCTCTTATTTTTTCTTATTTCTTGGTAAAATTAAGGTAAATCCAGGTAGGATGAAGACTATAATTGTAATGAAAACATAATCCAAACCTATTGTCTTAGATCTAATTATCAAATGTGTGCAAAACGTGAACACACGATGTTTTTAAAAAATTATCAGATGTTTTTTTTTCAAAACAGGAACACATGATGTTTTTAAAAACAGTATTCATTAACACTTCCTAAAGTTGAAAACTGATCAATTACTCTCTCTTTCCTGAGAGACATAATTACCACCAATTTAGCTTGATAATAAGATGTGTAATATGCTATAAGTAATCAGCTTTTTATGCAGAGGTTTCCTTTATAAAAATGAATTTTAAGAAAATTGTGCTCAAAGTTACATATATATTTTATTTTTTTTCCGACTAACCGCTTACGGATTTTCTAACCGATTACCATCGTTCCGACCGATTAATCGGTTAACCGGTTACAAATTGCCATCCCTATTATATATATATATATATATATATATATATATATATATATATATATATATATATATATATATATATATATATATATATACCGGTATATATAGTTATATATCGTAAAAAATCTGTATTTCTTCATGTTACATTTTTGTACAAGGTTACTAAATTACTCTTACATCTGTAGGGAATACCTTCCTTGAAACCTAGTATTTTCTTTTTAAATATCATCTTCAAGATGAACACAACTTGTAAATAGGCATATGCCAAATTATTTTTCCTATCTACTATATCAGCACTGGGGTATATAAACCCTTTGCATTTGTTACACCTGGTCGCTGCAGCGTGAAGTGCATGTATATCTCATGTTGTTCTTTTTGTTTACGTTCATTTCATTGAGAGTGGATTTGTTTTATTTCATTGAAGGTGCATTTGTGTTCATTTCAATTTGTAATGCATTGACCTGTGTAGTTGATATTGAATATCTTTTGATAGCTTTTTTCCTGATGTGGCAGAGGCTATCTTGAGGCATACAGAAGTCATTTTTGTTGCGCCCAACTATATCACAATGACAATGAAGGAGATGTGTTCTTAAGGTAGAATCCGTTAGGGGTGAAACGATACATCTCCTTCACGGTTCGATACGTATTGTATAATTTTGTCTCGGTTCGGTTATTTTCGATACGATACATTTTGATAGAAGGAAACAAATTCTACGTTGTTTTATGCTTTCTTTTTCTAAATCTAGTCACATATTTTACGAATTTTATTTGCAAATTGACTAGAAGAAATTGATTAAAATTATTTGACTGTCAAAAATTATTTTACAAGCTATCAGTCATCAAAAATTTACGTTTTCTATACTTATTTATACTGAGTAACGTGTTATACCTTATGCCAAACCCGACTGAATAACGATCCCGACCGAAAAATGAACCGAACCGAAAATTTGAGATTTTGCACCGTGTATCAAACCGAGAAAAAATACCGCGGTGCATCGATACCGCGGTGAACCGTTTCACTCCTAGAATCCATGAAGCAATATACGTTGAACTGTAAACAAAGCTGAGGCTTATATAGTGGATGGAAAACAACAGCCTTGAGAAAACTAATATGGTGAAAAAAATAACTCTATTCCTTTTACAATTACAGTGACCTTAATGTTAGGTGTGACACACTCTACCTAAGATACATTATTTATCAAAGTTTGAAGATTCTAGGCCAAAAATTTTCCAGTTGAATTGTTATGAGCCCTATATTTGGCCATATCAACATAATTAAATGTCACAGTGACCTATTAACTTTAAAATGTGACACACCTTTTATCCAAGATGCATCAGCTGATAAAGTTTAATGATTCTATGCTTCTATGCCTCATAGTACTTAAGTTATAAGCCAGACACAGATAAGCTATCAGACAGATGAACAGATATGATCACCATACCATACTGCATTCCATCACAGACGGACATAAAAAAGTCTTTAAAGTTATCCTTTACTTCCAGTAGCCAACCCAAAGCAAGAAGGAAATCAGGTTAAGGAATATGGCACTTACATTCTGGATGAATCGTCTCACATGGACTATAAATTGTTTACAAAAATAAGTGAGGAAAATTGAGCAGCTGTTACTCTGTTCCACATATAAAAGTGTATTACAAAATTTCACAGAAAACACACCATCCCTACTAGTAGCAAAATTTGTACAGATATCTGACTTTGACCTTCATAAATGACTTAGACCTGACATCAAGCCTCTCTGCTTGACCAAATATAAAGTCTCTATTTCATATTATTAGATTGTTTAAAGTTGTAGAAACACTTTTTTTTGGCCCTAAAAGTCTTTCTACAATTAATCATAGTCTCAGAACAACTAAATTTAAAGTTGTAGAAAGAGACTCAGGGCTAAAAAGCAATACCCTAATATTCCATGGTTTGATCTCAGGGGCAATAAATCTGTATGTCTGACTTACTCTAACAGCTGCAGTTTCCCTACGCAGTTCTTGAATGACCAGGACTAGGGCTTCTGGGTTCACACCATTTTCACAAAGACGAACACATGTTGCTAAAGTCTCAGCATCAAAACCAGTATTCAGGAGTTTTGAAATCTCTAAAAGGGCTGAAAAAAAAAAGTACATTATAGTTACATTCATCATTGCTCATTTCTGTATAATTTGTATATAATTTAACCGACCATGGTTAAAAAAGTATCAACTAAAAATGTAGTACATGTACCAATTTCTTGCCATATATGTAGATATGTCAAGACCTAAAAATGCAGTACCTTCTTCAGGTCCGGCACAATCTCTTAATTTAGCTATATAGCTTGATTTAGCTATATAGCTTCATTAAGCTATTCAGAATAGCTTGATTTAGCTATTTTATCACACTTTTTTCTTAAATATGTTATTTTCTCAGCACGCACAAAAAGTCGCACCTTGATGCAGTGATAATATTCAACCTTGAACTCTTCTGAAAATAATGCATGTAGAAATCACTCATCAAATTGCGTCTCCTCAGGAGACTTTGTACTCAAAGTTCTAAATGTTTTGGGGCTATATAAAGCAATTGATACAGTTACTTCTGCAATGAAATTATAAAGGAGGCCAATTATGGTCAACAAGATAATTGATTGGTAATAATTCAGCACAATGAGATCCACACCTCTACGCACACAAGGTAGTGTACAGTTACTCAAACAATGAAAATACATCTTTTGCTTAAAAGTATTCAAATGCGGCAATGTTAGAACTATCTTTGATTTTGGTTGTTGTTTTGATAGCCCATAGTACATATATGAATAGTCAAATACTTGCGACTTTTAGTCTATTTCTTACAAGAAACATTTTTCTGCAAAACTGCATATAAATAGCTTTAACAAGCTATTTTGAATAGCTTGATAAAGCTATATAGCTATTACAAGCTATATAGCTAAATCAAGAGATTGTGCTGGACCTGTTCTTGCCATATAAATAGATAAACAATGGCCGTTTATAAAAATGTATATAATGGCTATTGTCTGGTCATATGTATGTTCATGACTCTTTAAAGAAAGAAATGACTGTTTTTATATTTATTTTTACAGGAAAAATATAAACAAGCATACTTTCCAGCGTTTCCTTGGACGCCGAAGGTTTTCGCTTCCCCGAGTCCGCCATTTTTTAAATATTAGCTTGTTCGCTGACTGATTCTTTTACTTTATTGAAATCGTTTGCACAATAATGCAGTAAAGGCCAGGTAAAATTAATCTTTAGATTCTCATCCCCGCCCGCCCCTCTCAAAGTGCCCCGCCCCATTGTTTTTTATTTTGCTTTTATGGTGCCAAACGTATTATTTTCATGTATTTTTATTCAGCAAGAATCTGGGTCAAAATTTAAGAGTTATCTCCAGTCTGTATTAAAAGTCGCGTGGCGCTATTTATAGCAAAAAAACTATGTGAAGAATGGAGAAAAATCGGCAATAAAAGCAGTTTAAATATGTAAGGAAAACAGAACAGGAGTTGTTGGTAAAACTATAAGGTATTTGGGAAAAGGCCGATGAGAAAACATGCATATGCAATTTATTAGGATCAGCACCTCATTTTGTTTGGCGTGTGCCGTATCCGTGTACTTGATAATTTGTTAATAAAACTAACGTTATATATATTTTTAATTTTCTATAACAAGAATCTTCTGTAGATATTTAAAAGAATATGAAAACAATAAAATCTATTCATATTCATTTGGCATTAACATACTGTAAAATTTACGTGTACGAATGTTTTGTTGATACTTTCAATTAAAAAATAAAAAATAAAATCCGCCCACCCGCCCCAATTTTTTAGCAAATTAGGATGAGAATCTAAATTTTAAATTTATATGGCCAAATAGGGGTTTTAGTATTTATCAGTGATTTCTGAAACTTTTTATGCATTATTCAATTTATCGTAACTTCGGAGATTTTAAATAAAATGTATACAATATGATGTTACAAGTGAACCAGAAGTCTCTGACGAGACTGTAGCTCTACTGGTTTGAACTTATAACAAAGGACTTGGACGTGAACTTTGCAACAGCAACAAATAGAATAATGATCCTTGATCTAGTCTCTTTTCATGGCAAGATTTATTGCAATCAGAATAACATTGTAGGAGGAATAGCCTTTTAAAAGACTTTTACAGAAATTTCGATTTTAGTAACCTTATGGCAACATCATTTATCAAAATTAAAAAAACGATAAAGACAATTATGTATCTCAGTGTAGTCTACTTGCATGCCATGTTATATTAAAATCAGACCAAACTGTAGGAAGAGAAGTGTTTTGACAGTATTTCACAGAAATTAAATGTCTTTTTTTAGTAACCATGGCAACACCGTTCATTAAAATCAAAAACCGACACACAGAATAATGTATCTTAGTGTATTCTACTTGTGTGTCAAGTATATTGAAATCAGACCAAAACTGTGGGAGGAGTAGTGTTTTGAAAGTATTTCACATAAATTTCTATTTTTAGTAACCATGGCAACACCGTTCATCGAAATCAAAAAACAATAGAAAAAAATAAGTATCTTATTGTATTCTACTTGTGATCCAAGTTATATTGAAATCAGACCAAAACAGTAGGAGGAGTGTCATTTTGAAAAACTGTTTACAGACAAACAGACGGACGACGTACACCTTACTATCGCATAAGCTCTTCTGGTCTCTGACCAGTGGAGCTAAAAATATGTGAGGATTTGACAGATTGATTTTTTTTTTCCAAAAAATTTCAATTTGCTGGTCATTATTTTTGAATTCACCCATTTGCCATTTTAGATAGTGTCAGGTAAATTCAGTTCAGTTCGAAAAGGTGAAAAATTTAACCTTGATTCTTATCTTCGCCGAACAGTCTTGTAATTTTGAACAAAACTTTCTTAGTGCCCGCACACCTAAAGAATTGCAAAATATCGTACATTCTTATCTTTGCCTTTTGACACTGGAATTTCAGGGAGCCCAATATAGTCCCAAAAACTTTATATAATATATAATATACATTATGAATTTCTCTCTGATCAGTGAGTACTTTTCATTAGAAATTTTTAGCTTCCTCTCTTGTTGTTTTCCTGCTTGGAAAAAATAGTAATATTCGTGCTATATTTTATCACTTTACAGCTATATTACTTCTATTCTCCCTGCAAAAGTCGTTTGGAGGTAAGTTGACAATGCCTACATTTTATGTATCTTTGTGGCTCAGTGTAAATTGCTATTAATATTATCGTCACATTAATAAATGATGAAATTTCTGATTTCAGAATTTTTCATAACATATTGATAAATACCTGTTGGGAATTATATAGGTTGTTTGAAATACACTAATTTACTATTCACCTTTTTGTTGAAGCCCTACAATGTTTACAATGTTCTGTTATCTTTTTTTTCGTTGAAGCCCTACAATATTTACTATGTTCTGTTATCTTTTTTCGTTGAAGCCCTACAATGTTCACGATGTGTTCTGATACCTTTATTGTTGAAGCCCTACAATGTTTACGATGTGTTCTGATTCCCTTTTTTTTTCGTTGAAGCCCTACAATGTTTACGATTTTCTGTTACTTTTTTGTTGTTGTTGAAGCCCTACAATGTTTACGATTTTCTGACACCTGTTTTTGTTGTTGAAGCCCTACAATGTTTACTATCTTCTGACACCTGTTTTCGTTGAAGCCCTACAATGTTTACTATCTTCTGACACCTGTTTTCGCTGAAGCCCTACAATGTTTACGATTTCTGATACCTTTTTTTATTGAAGCCCTACAATGTTTACTATCTTCTGACACCTGTTTTCGCTGAAGCCCTACAATGTTTACGATTTCTGATACCTTTTTTTGTTGAAGCCCTACAATGTTTACTATCTTCTGACACCTGTTTTCGCTGAAGCCCTACAATGTTTACGATTTCTGATACCTTTTTTTGTTGAAGCCCTACAATGTTTACTATCTTCTGACACCTGTTTTCGCTGAAGCCCTACAATGTTTACGATTTCTGATACCTTTTTTGTTGAAGCCCTACAATATTTACTATCTTCTGACACCTGTTTTCGTTGAAGCCCTACAATGTTTACGATGTTCTGATACCTTTGAGCCACGACTGTGTAACCGGATAGAAGTATGCAACAAAGGAGAGGTAAGGGATCGGTTTTTATTATTATTTTATTATTATTAACATGTATAAAGCGCACAATGTTACAGATAAAATGCAATCAATGGCGCTGTACATGTGCATGCATTTAAAATGACCTAAACAAAGTTAAACAACTAATTAATATTTAAATTAATTTAATAATTAAAAAAACTATTTTAACTGAAAATAAAACAAAGTTGTATAGTTAACCTATAATTAAAACGTCAATTGAATGCACTTGTAAAATAAAAAGCTTTTAAATGTCTCTTAAAAACGTTAAAATCGCTGATGGCTCGTAGTTAGGAGGTACCTCGTTCCACACGGTAGGTCCTGAAATGGCGAAGGATCTTGAGGCAGATGTTTTGCGTTTTGCGATTGGGACGGTGAGAGTTTTAGCCAAATTATCAATGGAGCGAATCTTGTAAGTGGAAGTTCTAATGCTAAGTATTTCCCGCAGATACATGGGACTGTCCTGTCATTAAGACACTTAAAAACAAGACAAGCTATTTTAAATTTAATCCTATAGGTAACTGGTAGCCAGTGTAGAATTTTAAGAGCTTCTGTAGAACTGTCAGTTGATTTTAGTTTAAGCACGAGTTTTGCTTCTCGATTCTGTAATAACTGTAGTCGTTTGATGGTACATTGTACATTTTGGCAAACTGTTGGCGTAATCCAGATGGCTTATTACTAGAGACTGTACTAACTGTTTACATGAGTCTTCAGTAAGGTATTGGCGAATGTATCTGATGTGGTAAAGATTCATCGAAATTTTGCTACATTTTTCACTAACAAATTCCTAAAGCTTAAATGTTCATCCAAGTAACATCCGCGATATTTAATATACGGGAGTGCGTGAACATTTGCACCAACCACATTGATCGATTTCGTTGAAGACGCAGATAGCATTTTATGACTTCCGAATAATATAAATTCCGTTTTACTTGGGTTAAGTTTAAGTATGTTCAAATTCATCCAATCATTAATGTCTAGCAGAACGGTTTAACTTCCATAGATCTTCAGTTTTCAATCCAGAAGAACACATTCTGAAAAAAAAGGGGGGGTTAAGGCATTCTACAGAGATACCTATCTATGTTCTCAACCATGACATTTAGCTGGGTAAACATATTGGAGGAGGATCGAGGTGCCCCTTCTCTCTCCCCCATTCAACACGATAATAATGCAAAAAATTGTTATACATATCTATTAACACATTTTTTTTATTTAGTATGCTAAATATATTTAGGTCCTCTGTATTTTTTTTCCCACATTGTATGCTATCCTTTTTTTTAAATGTGTCACTTTAAAGTCAGATATTTATGGAGAGCCAAATTAAAATAAACTTAAATACATGTAATTGAAGATTTCTTTATTTGAATTTTCATCAATTCATTTGATATGCACGCAACAATTCTATTAGATATCTCTTCAAAATGTGAAATATTTAATTATATCAGTTTTCATTTCTGAACTACTGCACACATTTATTCAATTGTTGATATCATTAATTAGTTTACTTTTTAATTTTTGCTCTTTTCAAATGAAATGATGAGTATAATAATTTAATTCAGCGGAGAAGAGCAGTAATCAATTTATGCGCGCAGTAATTGAATTAATGCTCTCTTCACTTGATTTACTGCACGTATCAATTCGATTAATGTGCTCAATAATTGAATTACACGTACTTGTATTGCTTCAATTGAATTATTGTTATCATTAATTTACTCTGGGTAATGCGTGCAACAACTTTTTCATTGGTGATATTTTTCAAGTCAACATATCTATGATTTAAATGATAATCTCTTAAATTGAATTTGTGGTCTCTTTAATAAATTGATGCGCTCATTGATTTTTCTAACAAAATTTTTGTAAAGTAACAAGATGTCTTCAATTACATTAAAGATATCAACAAAACATTTATACTAAAGTGTAAATTATTTTTCTAGTAATAACCCAACACGCTTTAAACCTCAACAACTGAATTGATGAGAGCAATAATTGAGATATAATTGCTCTTTTTAATTCAACATACGCGCATCAATTCAGTTGAGTAGAGCAATAATTAATTCGACGCGAGCATCAAAGCAAGTATTGAGCAAAATAATGGAATATATAATATTTTCAAATAATTTTAAAAAATAAAATCTTCAATTATTGGATTCGAATTAATGTTTATTTTGGCACCTTAACTATAGCTATTGTCTCTGGTATTTGTAGGTATGTGGGGTACGTCTGTACCGATCTGATAATGGCGATGTCAGCTACTGGACCGGGTGTATGTCATCTCTGGTAAGGATCACCTAGACCATACAATACAAGTATGGATCAATCAGTTCCATAACGAATTAGACACATGTAATCAATTTTAAAGGAAAAAAAGTCACGTATGAATAATCCTTATAATGGATGTGTTTTGAGAAAAACACAATACTTACCGGTACATTGTATTACCTTTGGAAAAATATTCGTTAATCATTTCAGGATTGTACTAAAACTATAAACAGAACAGTTGTTCACCCTAAGCGTGACGGATCCTCCCACATCCCAGGCCAGCTGTTATGTACAGACTGCTGTGTGGGGGACATGTGTAACAGCGAGGGATGTGGGGCAGACGGTGAGTTGTAATCAAGGTGTTAGTGATCAATTATTCAGTAATAATTTGTGGTGCATGAAATGTGATTGATTGATTGTATGTTATAAACGTCCCATTCGAGAATTTTCACTCATATAGAGACGTCACCATATACCGGTGAAAGGCTTCAAATTTAGACCTATACTCCGTAATCAGGGCCTTTGAGCAGTGAGGGTTCTTTATCGTGCCAACGCCTACCGTATCACGGGACCTGGGTTTCTAAGGTCTCATCTGAAAGACCCGTGACTTAATTTCACTTTTAGTGTCGGGCGCTTGGGGAAGGAACAGTTACTACCTATGTTTACGTCTTAGCTTTGACGCGGCGCGGCGAACGAAAATCGAACCCGGGCCTGCCGATCACGAAGCGATGTATGAAATGTGAAGGTAACGAACAGTTATCATTCTCAAAAGTCCATTTAAACAATACAACTATGAGTAGAGCCAACGTGGACTTCTTAAAACAGAGAGGTGGGATCAGGTGCCATGGAGGAGTAAGCACCCTTTGTCGACCAGTCACACCCGCTCCTTGGTAAACCGAAGAATCCGTAGACAATTTGAACAGTGTGAAAATAATGGCTTAACAATTTTTATGAAAAACATCTGGTCAATATTCGACTTCGAAATGTTCACTTTAAAAGAGATTGTTGATATCCTTGTGTCATCAACTTATTTATAACGAAAACGGATCGAGCTGACAAATCGCAAGAAAGAGTTGGTTACCAACCCCATAAACTACAAAATAGACACTTAATATCTATATTAACATTATATCATATTTTTACCTCAGAGTTATACCATAACCATACCTCTAAATCAAATTAGACAGTAATTAGATACATATATAAAGGTGTGTAGTTATAATTAAACTCCGCTAAAATGCTGAAATATGTTCGAAATAATGCATCAATTAATAGCGTACTTTGGCAGAATAAAGCTTAATCAAAAATGACATTTATAGCTCATCCTCACAATATCGTTCTGGTCTGTATACAAAGTAAAATCAAAAAGTATATATAGTATTATAGTATAGGGTGTAAAGTCGAGGAATATCTTCCAATCAGCATTAAAACATGATTGGGACGTAATCTTTTATGTTTCTTGTACTATACTAACAAAATGTTTTAAATTCACAATCCAATAAGACCTCGGGCAAATTTCACTTACCAAATCTGAATTCGAAGCAAGGTCAAGTGATACGCTTCATTGGTAAGTAGATACTCTAACTTTGACCTTGACAATTTGAACACAAGATTTGTACGTTACGCGCAATATGTTTGTGCCATTTTACAATTTTAGTACCAGACCTATTAAACCCATCAATGATTTCAAAACAGTACTCACAATATGGGCGATTTTGGTATGAATCAAAACAATAGGTTTTGAATAGAACTACCCCGGTTCCAGTCAGAAAATAACATTTAAAAAGATTTTATGCAAAATATACAATTTTACTTAAAGATACTTTATGCGTTTAACATTTTTAAGCAGGGATCGCGCATTTTTCTTGGATAGAATGCTCTAAAATGAATCTACAGTTCTCATTTTTCTCACAAAACAAGAGCAATCCATGTCGTTAACGATTTTACATTCAATGATGGCAAGAAAAAGAAAAAAAGATTGTTTTTACGGAAAAAGAAACTGCAGTGCAAATAATTAATTTACTCAATTACAAGAACGTTTAAAAAGAATCAAATTATAACAAAATGATGTGCTTTTCTTATGGATTGAATTTTTTCATTAATTAAGCCTCATGTCAAAATGCATTTTTTGTAGCAAATAACTTGATTATTTGTTTGTTTGCCCTCTCCCGACTCAGGATTTAAGAAAATGGAGTCGGTAGGTAGGTGGGGAAGTTTTTCCCTAGAAATTTTCAATATCAACGCCAAATTTTCAAAATCTGTTAAAATTGAGGCTATTAATAAAATCAAAATAGTTGTTGTCGGGATGAGAAAATTCCGGAATTAATAAAAAAAAAATCGTTTCCTGGAGGTTTAAAAAAGTTTTGAGTTGGGTTATTTTTAGCCAGTCAGTCGCACTGTGGTCGGGAGAGGGCAAAAAAAAATTTTTTTTAGAGATGGCCAAACCTGAATGATAAAGGTGAATGTTTGATTTTCCAGGGTATCCCATCTCCAGGGGGCCATTGTGTTACGACTGTCGTGATATCCACGCCCCTGGTGATTGCCACAAGATAGTACCATGTAGTTTAAATGAGGCTAGTTTATACCAGATTTATAATTTCTAAAAACGATGCAAGTTCATAAAAGCGAAGTACCCATCACACCAATCAAAGGCAACACTCAGATAATACATATTTTATATAATATATTGTTACTCACTTTATACCGATATTATCATCACCACCCTCGCTTCCTCGTCTAATTCTTTCAAATGACATCTCATTCAGAAATGCCTATTAGAGGAGAGAACTGTATTTGGTCAGCGCTATTTCACAAGTAGATGTGAACACGGACAGGTAAGTCAGCACGTGTTCCATTTAATTTCTAAATCAGTTTTGAAAAGTGAGTTTGGAAACAGAGCACCTGGCGCTAAAACTAGGATTCGTGATGCTTAGAAGACCCTGGTATTTGGAGCCCATGAGCATCCATTTTGGGGACCAGGGCAAGAAACTACCCTCTATACACTAAAGGAAAAGATTCACTGGAATGGTATTTAAGTTAAAAAGCAAAAACAAACAAACAAAAACAAAAAATTAAACCACAAAATAAAACAGAGCATAAATAGGACTCCATTCTCTCTAGCTGTGTGATGATTTTGTACATTTTACAGACGTGCGATTCACTAGTACACATACCATTCGGTAGAAAAAGGGCTACGGCAGTCAAGTGCCACCAGTGCTGTGATGGGGATTTGTGTAATAACAACTGTAACTTGGGTTAGTGACATTTTTATTTGCCTATAATTAACGAAAACAAAAACACACATCTCTGTGTTCTGAGAGTCTTTGGTAGTACTGTGTATATGGCAACATGACAGCAATTTTAATATTGTAAATTTTTTTGTTTTAATAGTGACGTGTTTTTTTTTTTACTGTTAATCATATTAAGATACCTTACATTGTTTTGTTTTTTTTTTTGTTCATAGCTAATTCCGTTGGTGGCTCCACCACTCCAGGTACAGTGATGTCATCATCATCAGCAGCCCCCTACACGTCCTACAGCGTGGCCTTCTTCACACAAAACAATCAAACCGTCACCGGGCCAGGATCAAGGGATATAATCTTCGACCAGACTGCCATTAATATTGGGGGCGGATATGCCAGTAGCACGGGGATATTTTTGTGTCCCCAAGCAGGCTTATATATGTTTGCATGGGGAATAGTTTCACACGGAAATGGGGTCGACACCAGTTTGATGAAAAATGGGTATCCCGTGGGTGTCGCAGCGATAACTGATCCGAAGGCTTCCACGGTTGACGATTCGAGCACCTCCTTTGCAGTACTTCGTTTGAACAAGAATGATAAAATAAATGTGCATCAATTTTCTGGAAGCAGAACCATCAGCAGTTTTTTTGCGGGCTGGAAAATTTACGATGGGCCACTAGATAGTGAGTAAATTTTATTTCTGTTTTTGTTTTCACAATTATTTTCAAATTCTTAGCTGGATCATTTGTCATGTCGGCAAAATTGCAAATTGCAGATATTTTATTTGAAAAACAAGATGTGTTTGTGAAAAACTGATGCATATGGCCAAGATTAAAGTTTATCAAGAGGTGGTCAAGCTCCAAGGTCTCGACGTCAAAAATGTTGGTATACATAGAAAGGTCTTGTCACAGAGAAAACTCATGTATAATATAAAATCACAAAAAAGTAAAACTTCAAGATCATGATGTCTTTTATCTGCATTGCCTCAGTCCACCCAGATGCAGCGGGTACCGGGTTGCGCTTTGGAATTAACCTGTGATGAACTGGTGTACCATCAGTCAATGACTATTATTCGCCTAGCACCACAGAAACGGGGTATGAGCACCCGTCTTATGAGCCTTATGCCTTGACGAAGGATTTAACTTTAACTTAATTAGTACTAACAGTTCAAAATTATGACCAAGGTTAAAGTTTGGTAAAAGACTTTTCAAACTCGAAGGTCATGAGGTCAAAACTATAGGTACCTAAATAAAGATCTTGTCTCAAGGAATACACATGTGAAATATGAAAGTCCTAGCACCAACCGTTCTAAAGTTATGACCAAGGTTAAAGTTTTTGTGAACGAACAGCCTAGCAGACAAACAGGCAGACGAATAGATCAAAGACTCGGTATATGCCCCGGATATCCGATTTAGTCCGATTACGGGAGCGACTTTGGTGGTTTTGCTTTATTGGAAATACAAGCTTTTATACATTCAGTTTGCAAGTATACTATTTTTAATTCGTAACTGGACAACTTGATATGATGGTTTTGATATACCCGGTATCGTGTTTACATATATATGGATGCATATCTTACATTAAAAGATTAAATTGTTATTCAGACTTTTCTATAACCACGATAGATCAGTATATAATACATGAATGAGGGGACGATTTTTTAAACTTTAGGCAGCATTTATTATCTTATCTCTTTAACATAATCCCAAACATGACTAAATCATTTGCGAGTATGAATGGGTAAAAATAATCCTTATACGGTTTATAGTTATAGATCATTTTCAATTAAGATTTAAATAATGTTACCCTTATCGTGTCTTTTAACTGATTCGAATTGACATGCCATCCAATTTGGCAAAATGGCAGTATGCTGTGAATCGCGAAATTGTCGATGGTCTAACTTTCAAGCCCAGGAGGGCTATTAAAAACGGCTGTATATAGGGAATGTTTTGTCGTGGAAATAGTAAAAGAATATGTTAGGAATAAAAGGTTGGTAATATTCTGAGGTGGCAGCAAAATTAATTGGAGAAATGGTGTGCGCTTTTTTGCACACAATAAATACACACTTTTTTTTCCAGTGGGTGGATGTGTAGCTCTCTAGTTGTCCATCCCATATTTTTCAGACCAGCGAGCTTCAGATCTGCAGGTTATTCTAAATATTAAACCAAGACAGGCTACTGAGAAATAAATTGATGTTGCAGGCCGTATTACGACCTTGTTTAAAGTGCTATGTTATAATGACACGGATTGAAAAAAAAACTATCGTTGGGTCGTATTTTAACTGAACTGTTAAGCCATTATTTTATATTAATTTTCACCACGGATTGGTCCGCTAACTTGGTCATCTCAGATTAATGGACAAGTGATTTTACTTCTACTAGGCACCTGATCCCACCTCTGGTGTTTCCAGGGGCCCGTGATTTTGACCTGTTCACGTTTCGCATTGTTCAATGGATTAATATGAGCTTGATTACTGCTCATTATCCTCACATTTTTTTTTGCTGTATTTGTTCTATTTTTTTTTCTTATACTAAAAATGCTTCATTTAAAACTATTGCAGGAAATATCGATGCATTTACAACTGCTCTGAACCATTCAAGCTACAGCTCAACAACAGTTCCGTTTAACAGCGTCATATTTGATAACAAGGGAAGTTATCGTACTGGCAACCAAACGTTTGTTGCAGATAGTCCCGGTTTATATGTTTTTGGTGTTTCGGGACAACAGTCTGGTTCTCAGTACGACGATCTACAAATTAAAGTTAATGCAGCACAAAAACTTAACGTGAGTCTAGTTTTAACTACAGATCTGTTATGACCACCCCATCCCCATATAATTTCAAAGAAAAATCTCAGCTTTGGTGTTTGGTGTTAATTAAATGTAAACGTCCTTATATACGCCCACAATATGAAAATATGAAGCAACCAAGCATTCAAAAATCTTATGTGATGTAAAAGGCTGTACATGTATTTCAAGTATCTTGAAAATAAAACGCGATTTTTACACATCTAAGCGATGGCGAGAGGACATAGCATCTTTGCAATAAATATTGTCTCCCAGAATAATGCTTCATGTGCATGTAGCAAAAACATTGGTATTTACGTTCAAAGATGTATAACTCCCCTTTTCTGAGAAGCAATTCATAATTTTTTTCACAAAATTCCCACAAATTGTTTGAAAAAAAAAAATGAAATCAAATTTAGAAACATGAAATGAAAATTATTGCTCTTAAACGTTTTCTTCCCACGTAACATATTAGCCTGCTTAATATAAATGTTGATTAGAAGGGTATTCGTTCTTTGCTGAGGGACGCACCACTGTTATAACGCGAAATGTAATAACAACGCAAAATGAAATAAACTGGGATTATTACATTTTCCGTCGAGATCAACGCAGAATGTAAAAAAGTAATAAAACGATTTTTTGATTGTTACATTTTGCGTTATTTAATTTTTGCGTTGAGGACAACGCAAAATGTAATAAAACAAAATGTAATAACACAAGACATAATTATTTCTTTTTTTTTATTTTGTTCAACGCTAAACATCACAAAATTAATTTAATATTATAAAATATGGAAAGGTATTGCGTTGAAGTGGATGGGTCGGTTAGGGGTGTAAATGCAATTAAGGGGGCCGACTGGGGTTTTCATTGTGCAATACTTCGCACAACATAGTAAACTCAAGCTCATTTATACTTTAAAAAAGCGAATATTTTCACATAATTTATCAAATCAAACAAAAATTAAGATTACAGGTCAAAAATCTTGTTCATTTTTTTAAAACTGAAATCAGTTCTAATGTAAGAATGAGTTTGTTTATTTTCTTTTTTTTTCTATCTTTCCGTTTCTTTTCTCGATCAACTACTAAACTGAACATTATTCTGAACCTAACTGACCAAAAACTGTGTTAATACGTTTTGCGTTGTTGCATTTTGCTTAATCTTCGATACAAAATGTAACAACGCAAAATGTAATAGTACAAAACATTGTGTTATTACATTTTACGTCATAACATTTTGCGTAAATCTAGACGCAAAATGTAATAATCCTAAACGTCTCTTATTACATTTTGTGTTATTACATTTTGCGTTGACCTCGACGCAAAATGTTAAAGCGCAAAATGTAATAATCTTACATTTCGCGTTGTAACACACCACCTTGATACGATTCATGTCTAGTTTGCATTTCTTTCAACAGATTGTAAATAATTCCAATCTTTACATATTTTTCAGACCTTTCCCGACTCAGAGAGCGGACATTCTGATTCCGGGGCGACTCTGGCTGTCTTAAACCTCAATTCTCATGACAATGTTAATATTGGAGGCCGTCATTATGTTGGCTACAGGGGAACTACAGCGTTTTCGGGATATAAAATTGCAAGTATGTTTTTTTTTTCTGAAAAAGGTGGGGGATGAATGATTTTCATGATGAGGTATGTACTCATGAAAGTTTTTAAACAATACACTTTTAGATGGTTAATTTTGCATTCCCTTTAATAACTTAATAAGTTGATTGTAAAAAAAAAAGGGAGAAGGAGTCAAAATGCATGAAAAAATCATATCTTTAATCCATTTCAGACGTCACAACTCCGGCATTTACAGCGGTGCTCACGTCGGATAGTACGAGTACTATTGTCCCATTCAGTGACGTGTTATTAGACACCCATCATGACTTTAATCGTTTGACGGGGGTATTCACGTGCAGTGTTAGTGGAACCTACCTCTTCACGTGGACGGTTGAGACAAACGGGGCTGAACTAGAAACACAGCTGATAATTCAGAGAAAAGTGGGTTCTCAGATAAGTGGTCCAAAAACTTTTGGAGAGGAAACTAAGGGAGATGAATACGACAGCAGCACGGGGGTGTTTATCTACGGTCTATCCACGGGGGACACTGTTAGTATAAGACGTGTGCGCGGGAAAGTAGAGGGAAGCTACTCCTCATTCTCTGGATGGTTGTTGTTCTAGTTAATGGTATTGAGAAGAAAAATAAAACGAAGATATTTAAATTCAATGTGTGCTTTCTATTTTTAAGTCTTTGATGTAAAAAGTGAAGATAACGGACAGTGAAATCCTGTAAGGAATACGAACAGGAAAAATGGGACCCCGGGAAATACCAGAGGTGGGATCAGGTGCCTGGGAGGAGTTCAGTGAAACAGATGTATGCGCATATGTTAAATACACCAACGTCAGCTGCATAAAAGTTTCTAGTAAAGTGCAGATTTTTTTCATCCCTATAATATGTCCATTACATTTACATATAGTGTATTTGAATGACAAAAAGTGAACGTTGAATTATTTTTTTCATGGAGGGGCTCTCCTTTTTTTCCATGAAGTTAAAAGAACTTTTCTAAAAATTTTGTTATCAAATTTCATTGAAAATTGTATTTATTTTCATTTCTGTTCAGGATGAAAATTAAACAGTGATTTGATTCGAACATTAACTATCAAGAGAGGAATTGCGTTTTACATTATAAGATAATTATTTTTGAAATGAATTTCAATTTACTTAATTAGAGTAGTAGTTAAAGGTTCCTGCTATCCGTATGCCATGCTTCAATAATATGTTAAGTTTTTCAGAATTATACCATTCGATTCATGGCCGTTTTAGTTTTAAACTCTAATGAGCTATGTAAAATGCTAATTTATGAAACCTTTATAAAACACTGACTAAAAGGATCCGGACGCATTGAAATAGATAAAAATTAGTGTACTGTCGCATTTGATAAGAACAGGACAGGAAATGCATTCTTCTAAATGTGACCACAAACTTGCCAGATACACTTTCATGACACACCCTCTGGTCATAAGTAATCATTTTGTGAAGTGTAAACTTCCAGTATTTTTCCATTAGAGAGTTATAGACCAGACTAGAATTACATGTTATTCTGAAAGTTACCTTTAGCTTACCCAAATGATCTTGGGTCAAGGTCATAATATACCATCAGGACATTTAAGTAAATTTCTGTGTGAAGTAAGAACTTCCAATTCTCCTCCAGTCCAGTAGAAATTTATGGACCAGACACAACTTTTATACTTTTCCTTATAGACACATTGAGCTTCAAGATTAAGGCATACCCTAGCCATAACACAGACACTTGTTTCTGTAATAATTTTTTTTAACTCATAGCATTATACCGGTAATAACAAAAGATATCTAACTCCGAATTACATGGAGTACCCCCCTCCCCAAGATCGAAGTCATTTATACTTTCAGAGAAAATAAACAGGAAACTGTTTATTACCATTCTCTTCTACGAAAATTTAGCTACACAGCCATGTATGGCATGTTTGTACGATGGTCGATAGCGGCCGTCAATTTACACTAACGTTATGTGTGTAACATGTACAGCATTTTCAATGAAAACTCACTGACACATTACTCCCAAAAGGAAAAGTGTACAGTGTCAAAGCAAATTTCATGTACACTCTACACCAACGTTTTATGTGTAAAATGTCAGTAAAACTTTCATGTACACTCTACACCTAAAGGTGATATCAAGATTCAAAACAGATCCAATGTTTCTTTATCGTGCTGCTCCCTCAAAGTGCCTCTTGATGTTCACATAAACCTGAAGTAATTTTTATTTATATTTTCGCTATAAGGAAATGGCTAAATAAATGCGTCTGTCCAGTAGAAGCTATCAAACAGTTCATATAGTTCTGGAAGTGAAAAATCTTGTTTCTAGTAAATATGGATGAAAGGTTATAATACATTTCAAAATATATAAAGTGAATCATTTTCTTTTACTTAGCAGTAATATTTACAATCATTTTCACACAATGTGAAATGAAAACAAGAATTGTTTTATATTGTGTGATAATTATCACTTTCCATTTTTTGACTGGAAAATTTGAATGCTGATGTACCTCTCCTACTGGCAGACTGATCCGTTTTCCAAGCTGTGACCTAAATAGCATTTTCGATAGTTATTATCATGATCTGATTAAGTACCTGTAATTTAATTGATGACCCTTTTAAACCTTTCATAAAATACTAATTTTGCTCTTTACTGATTATTTACCAAAGAACTTAATATGCCAGCTAGCATTTCCTCAGGCCCCAAAACCATAAAATGAGAATAGACTTAAGTCAAAATTTTGATTTTTTAGTATCTTGAATTTTTTTTTTAATATTGTTGCTTAAAAATTTGCAATTTTATATAACATTTAAACTGAAATATATGATGAAAATTTGGTTTCAATATCAAAATTATTTCAAAAGTTATATTGGTTTGAAATTTTGACTTAAATCTATTCGCAGTTTATGGTCTTGGGGCCAGATCTATGTGAACTTCAAGAGGCACCTTGCGGGAGCAACACAAAGAAACACGTCTGGTTCTGTTTTGAATCTTGATTCACCTTTAGATGTAGAGTGTACCTGAAAGTTTTTCTGACACTACACACATAACTTTGGTGTAGAGTGTACACGGAATTTGCTTTGACACTGTACACTTTGTACACTTTTTCTTTTAGGTGTAATGTGTCAGTGCGTTTTCAGTGAAAATGCTGTACATGTTACACACATAACGTTAGTGTAAATTGTCGGCCGCTATCGGCCATCGTATGTTTGCCTATCTCCGTAAACAGCGTCAAAACTCTGCTTGCCGACTGGAAATTCGTCGCACTTCGTGCTCGGTCAACATGCTTTCTCTAAGTATCTACATACTGACCTGATCAAAAGGCTATATTTGTACAAAAATTACACGATGTTCACATAATAAATGATGCTTCGGCACGGATTAAGTGGTATAAATTATTTTTAAAAAATCCTAATGTTTTACCATATACATTACTGATTCAAAGATTTTATTGTATAGGTATAACTAAATAGTTGCTAACAGGGGTCTTTGGCAACAGCATCGTTCGTCGCAAACCACGGCCAAAATGTACGATACTCTCCCATTCTGGTAGGGTAGGAGAGAGCTATATGCGGACTCCGGATCGTGGCTTGATACAATGGGGCAACAGTTGATCTGTCCGACCTGTGCGCAAACTGTTGCCCGCGGCCTTCAGTAACAGTTTATACACCGGTCCGACAGATCAACCTTTGCCCTCAATTCCAGTCAACAACTGTATAATATTTCTACGTTACGAAGTTATGAATCGGACATGAATATTATAATACGCTTTTTCTGTCAGTCACCATGAAATTGTCCAAATGAACTTGGCTCAAGGCCATGACACTCCAATCATATATCAAGTAAGATCTTTCAATGTTTCTCCATTATAAGACATGGCTGGGGCATGGCAAGAATTTTAAAGTTTTTAAATGACCTTGAACTTGATCAAATCTCCTCGGACTAGGTCATGATACACACTCCAGTCATAATTAATTTACGAGTGGAGTACGAAGTTTTAGTGTTTGTTAATTTGAGAATTATGAGCACTGGACACTTTTTTTATAGTCGGTGGCCTGTAACTTGCCTAAATGATCTTACTTGTCCATATATTTAATGTTTCTCTGTTACAAAGTTATGGTCCAGACATGGTTGAACTTGTATAGACAGACGGATAAACAGCTAGACGGATGAACAGGCGGACAAGGTTACTGTAAAATATTTTAACTCTTATTTATCTATAATTTTGCCAAATATAACATACATAACTTTATGGTTCGAAAGTTGTTATAAGGGTTAAACTAAGTTTATGACAGAAATACAGAGTGACACAATTTATGACAGATTTTCAGACATGACAAAACAATACAAAACCATAACTCTCTAATGGAGAAATGTTGGAAGAAGATACTTGACACCAGAATTACGTATGTCCTGAGGGTGTGTTATCATGCGATGAGCTAGAGAGAGATCGGGGCATCCGGACCCCCCCCCCTTTCCGGAATTTGCCGAGTTATTAAATGTATATACTGAAGCAAATAAAAAATGACGTTGGACCCCCCCCCCCCTTCAGTTTTAGAAAACGTGGATCCCTTGTAAGTAGTAGGTTTTTCACGTTTGAGAAAGACGATTAGTTGTTTTGTTGTTGTTGTTTTTTTTTTTTCGTTTGTTTTTTGTTTTTTTTTTTTTTTTTTGGTATTGTGCTGTTTTGTTTTATTTATTTTGTATTTTGTTTGTTTGTTTGCTAGTTTTGTTTGTTTGTTTGTTTTGTTTTGTTTTTAGGTTTTTTTTGCTTGTCAAGAAAGATTTTCTGGGTTGAATTTTTTTTGACTGGAGAGGACCCCCCCCCCCCCTCTGAAAAAAAATCCTAGATACGCTCAGTTATGATATTGACCCAAGGTCATTTGAGCAGGTTCAATGTCTCTGGCAGAAAAGTAGCTGAAATTCCTTTCTGGTTCATAACTTTCTAATATAGAAACATTGGAAGTTCATACTTCACACAAACCTCTGCTTTCGGGCCTTGGATACGAATAATTTTAAGAACGATTTAATTGAAATAAATGGCGGGTATTAAAAATAGTTTAATTTTGGACATGTTACGACAAGGGATATTGTGACAATAATTCACTTGTGATTAGATGTTTGAGTGTAATAGATCCAATATGTGAGTGTTGGTTATAGCAGAAAAATGGTTAACCAAACATGTATGTAGTATGTACTGATGTAGGACAAATGATTCAAGTGTGAAATACAAGTTGATTTTGGCATATTTGCAAATACTATTTATAGGTTTGTTTACCAGTTTTACAATTGGCTACACTTATCAAACGACAACATTGGTTAAACAAAGGTGAATTAATTGTTCTGAAGAAAAATATGCATGAAAACATTGTACAGCATTTACATTTACCATGTTTACAGAAAATTTACTACTGTCAAAAAGGACTCCTTTCAGAACTATGAAAAACAGAGAATATTTGAAGATATAAAGCCCATTTGATGTTATTCCACTATCTGGAGCTTGTCTTATATTGTTTACTGAATAACTGGTTTCTTATAAAGTTCCTTTCACATACAAACCTTCGTGGAAGCAATCACATTTCAGATATATAGTGTGTGATATAAATTTGAATGTTTACCTTGTACAATTAAACATCATATGAAAGCCC